AAAATTGTTTTAAAATTAACCCTTTGAACATGGGTCAGGACCTCTCTGGAAGAAGCAGCCGGGGAAATTTGGAAAAGCCAAAATCAGAATCACTGTGGTGAGACAGGTTGATCAACATCTGCCCACACAGCAGGATGCACTGTCTGCCATCCAGCAGCCTTCCCACTTGGAGAGTGGAGAGAGAATATTTTCTGGGCAAGCTGTCTCTTGCCAGTGCAGGATGGCAGCTCCCCTTGTCCCTGCCTCACCCACCACCAGCCTCAACAGGAATAGCTCCATTTCCCCATATAAAGTGCCACCTCACATCCAAAGGACAACTTATCCTCTCCTTATACCATGTGACCACACTTAGCATTAGCCCTCACAGCCATACCTCCACATTGTCAAAGTTCCAGCCACCCCTTTCCAATAAGAACTCCTCAGGAAGCTCCCCAAGGAACGGCTCTCTCTTCTGCACGCACCACTCAGCTACCTGCTGCTTTAATCCATTTCAATTTCCCTTAAAACTGTTGCTTTTGCACAACAAAAAGAATCATACATAATTATATACACATAATTTAGGACAAAATAGATGTGAAGTTCCCAACCAACAAAGCAAGAGAGTAGGTGTTTAAAAGAGTGGGACACACTGTCATGTCTCCCTAAAGGCAAGATTCCAACCCAGCAACAAGATACATACATGCCCATGGTAAAACACTTGGACAACAAACGGGCTATAAATAATTTTTAAATAATTGCTAAAATAATTCTAATAATTGCTAAAAATAATTTCAGATTCGGCCCCTGTGCTGGGTCACAAAGAGCAGAATCAAAAAATACAGCACAGGAGTGGTAAACAGGGCACCTGATAACAGGGGATGTGGTGCCAAATTCAGGCTTAAAAGCTGCGAAGTGGCTCTGCCTGTGTCTCCCTGCTGGAACCTGTGGATGACCAGCTCTCCACTGCAGCTGTACATATATTTAGTCGTACTGAGGCAAAGAGGTAGCTATAGAAATACATCTGTAGCTGCAGCCTAAACCAAATTAGGCTACACAGCTGCATGTTTTGTCAACCAAACAATTTTCAATATTTTACCTTGATTACAATAATGTTGTTCTGGTTCTTCCATCAGTGTACAAGCACGGCTAAAGGACACGGATCAGAGCTGGAGAGTTTCAGACATGCTGGTGGGTAAGGAGGTGGTGAGAGGGGAACTGGGGGGAAAGAGGTTCACCTTTAATCCTGGCAGCCAGTGGCAAAGAGAGAAGGGATAGGCATAAAAGGAAGAAAGTAAAGGAAAAGGAAGACTGTGTGAACCAATAAGAAAAGTGAAATGAATTCAATCTTACTGTATTTATTCTATATACTGACTGTGTTTTTTCCACTGTTCCGCTTTATATCAAAAATTAGTTTGGTGCATACACAGACGTGAACCAACAGGTCAAGTGTATTTGTATTTTGTCTTTTCCACATGCACAAGTACTTTGTATTTGTATTTGTGGAAAAGGCTTTCTAGGCTAAACCTTGCAAGAATTTACCTATTGATGCACCAGATCGGCGAGAGAGTGGCTCCATCCCTGAAATACTCAGGGAACCGACACTACACCAAGCACCAGGTAACAAAAAGCTACTTTTTGTAACAGAATGTTTCAGTGTGCAACAAGAAGGAGAAACACCAGCCAGGGTGGGGCAGAACAAACCAAAACAAAGAAAAAAATTGTGTAAGGCATGGAGGTAAAAAAGCATACAACCTATCTGCCCCGTACATCATTGAGGGGGTAGGAGAAATGGACCATTCTTCTCACCCAAAATAAAAGTACACAGCTTCATCTATGGGATAGTCCAGCTGTTCCCGGCACTGCTTGTGCCTCCAGCCCAGGACAGCTGGAGCAGCTTTGCCCTCTGCTGGTCCCGGGAGGGCCTCAGCCCAGCCCAGGCAGGAGCCTCCCTGTCCCATGGACACCTCCTGGGGCTGTCACCCTCGCCCCCAGCCTTCCCAGGCCGTCAGAGTCAGGATTAGATACAGCACAGGACTTGAGAAGTTGTCAGCTTAGTCAGGGTAGTAACACCACAGAGGGAATGAAAGTCTGGAAAAAAGAGTGAAAAAAAAAACCCAAAAAACTAAATATGATAGAGCTGAAGTCCCTGCTCCAGCACAGAATGGTAGTCAAGAGTCCTAATTAAATCACACCACACTAGAAGGCGTTTCCCATCAGAATCCTCAGTGCATTCCAGTGCTTTCTTTCACACAAATCACCGGGATTGCACACTGCAAGGAAACATTTGGAAACAGCATTCCTGGCAGCCAGCTGCCCCCAAGGGGTGCACAGGGCCAGGAGAGAGAGATCCCAGGTAGCCCCTCTGCCTACAGACACACCACTCACTCCCAAGTGCCAGAGCTGGTTTGTCCCTTCCCTTCACCCCTCTCCCACTTGTTCTGCCTCTCGAGAAGTTTGGTTCCACTCAAAATGCCACAAGGCGAGAAAGCACAACAACGTTTGTCCAGCACAAACCCAGTCACCTTGGCAACAGCCAGCAAAGCTTTCCCAGCTCCTCCTGCTCCGTTTTCTCCCGGTTTTTGCTGGCATTGGTGTGCCTTGGGTGACAGCTATGAGTGCCAAGTATGCCGTCAGCACCATCCCAGCAAAGGCAGGGATGAATACAAGAGCTGGCCTGGCTCTGCTGTAAACCAAGGGACACTTGTGTGCTGCCAAGCCCCCTGGGAACTGGCAGCTTCCTAACACCATGCACAGCAGAGCCATGCCTTGTAGGTAACTGCATTACTTACTGCCCCACTCAGGCAATCTCAAAGTCACCCAAGCATAGCTGATCTAATTATTTTTCCAGCACTGTGCAGCATTATTCCCATGATTTAATCCTGCCCAGGATCATTAGACACCGTGGTACCGTTAAGAAAGCAATTATGACACTGACCCATGTTTTCAGGGACCTGGGCAGGCAAGTGCCTTTGTCATCTATCAGAAGGGAATTTTCTAATGTGATTTAGAGCCTCTCTAGAAGAAGATAATGTACTTACCTGCTGGCTTTCAAGGATGCCTTGAAGTCTGACTTAAACTAGGGTACAGTGAATATCTTAGGGGGAAAAACCCCCCAAAATACAGGTATTAGCTGTGTAAAATAAACCAGGCAGAACAGGGTTGTTCCAGGTGATGGTAAGATGAGTACAGTCAAACAAACATTAACCAAAGGTGCACAACCAAGTGTAAAAAGGCTTTTCCACATTGCAAGGACAGGTAGAAGGGACAGTGCAGTAGCAGCATCATATGTGAGTAGGATACCATGCTGAGTGGGGGCCTCTGGCTACTGAAAAACAGCAGGTCCATAAACCTGGAGAAGCAGGCATGTGCTCCACTAAAACCAGTCCTGCTGCTGTCATGCACAGTCTGCAACTCGTGGAAGGAGAGGTAAAAATATGAGTGCTAAAAATAATTTCAGATTCGGCCCCTGTGCTGGGTCACAAAGAGCAGAATCAATGCTGGGTTGTGCTCCAGGCAGATGGATGGCAATGTAATGATGTTATTTCAAAACACTCAGTCTGGGGAGACAGAAAAATCATAAACAACAAAGGAGCACTCCAAGGTTAACAATTCCTACAGTTTTACAGTATCACCCTGAATTTCTAAATAAAATGTATTTTTTTGGGAAAAAGAAAGGAAAACTTCAGTGTGGGTAGCTCCTAGAGGTCAAACAGAAGTTGCTCTAGGGATGCAGTTTGTCATTTGTACTTAAAGGAAAAATACACAAACCATTCTGGCACACTTCAGAATCCAAGCTTCTTTTGTAAAAACATCTAGGCCATCCTCTCCATTCCTGACTTCTGAATTAAGTGGCAAAAATTCTGTTATTAACTCCTTGAGGAGGTATTAAACACCAACTGGCATTCTCTGCTGGAGCAGATTGTTGCACTAGTTTGGAAAAGGAGAAAAAGAAAATTGATGTTTAAATGTAAGGAATTAACCTGCATAAATATGGAAAGAAACAGAAGGATAACTTCTATGTGCTTAAGGTAGGAATTATTAATAACAAAACTCCCAACCTCACGCTTTTGCAGTTCTGTTCCACTCTCCACCAAACATAAAAAGTCTGAATCATTTATGACCTAAATTATTTATAACAGATATATTTTTGACTTAAATTAATTTCAGCAGCAAAATCCCAAGAATTTTACCCAGGGCAGGCTGTGGGGTTATTTTTTCCCTTCACATCACAAAGGGAAAGAGAAAAAACCCCTCCTGTCTTTCAGGCTGGATGCCTAGAAGATTTTAATTTATCAATTCTTTTCACAGCTGGGTATGAAAACTCCTCTCTGCTATGTCACCCGATCTCTCACCCACCTAGGAAAAGAGAGGAGTTAAAGATTTGATAATAATAAAATTAAAATGCTGCAATTGGACTAAACAGGAATAGTGCAGGAGTGCCTGCCATACAGGTTAGTTCCTGCCTTTCCCCTGCAGCCCTCTGGGAGGAATCCTCCATACACCATTTCCAAGAACCATCAGCAAGTTCTTCCCCTCCAGCCCGGAAAGCTGGTCCCTTATCTTGCACTTTTCCCACTCTGTACTCTTGCTATCTTCAGTCTGATCACTGCTGTTCCCTCTCCCTTCAATCCTGCCCCACCAGCAGACTCAGTCAAACAGAATGTGAAACCTTGTGGAGAATTCCAGTTTCATGTTTAATTTTTCTTTTTTTCAGATCGCTCAGCCTCCATGAAACACCTTAAAGCCATTAAAATCACCATCCTAACTTGTGAATTATACAACTTGAACACTTATCTGCAAGTGAGTAAGGAGATGTACCAAACATACTCTTATTTCCTCTTCTGAAGATTCTTCTAAAAAATAAAAAAGTCTAAATTCAGTTTAGTGTGTATTTATACAAGATTTCCTTCCAAACTCCTCAATGGCAAATTTCTTGCCAGCCCTACCCACTTGAAAGTAACAGAGGATTATTTTCCTCTATTTTGAAACAGCTTGATGGACTAAAAAGAGGCCTAGAGAGGTTTATGTAGCATTTACCACTTTTATTATTTATAGTCTCATAAAAAGCAAATGGAAGAATTAGAGATACACAACTGAAATTCTCAAGCATTTTATTTTATAACCTACTGTATAAAACATACAAAAACAAAAACCAAACCAAAACAAAACAAAAAAAACCCCACCCAAAAAAAAACCCTGAAAAAAAATCCCAACAAACTGGAAGTGAACTAAAGGAAGATCTCATACACATGTTCCAAAAAGCTTTACCTAAGGGCTCAGAAGCAGTAAACATTCAGCATATTAAGAATGGGATTCAGAACCAATCTTCACACTTGCAGTCTGCAGTCATGGATCCAAGGGCCCGGGTTTAGTTGCTGTAAGCAGCAGCGATTGTGAGGGCTGGTTTTAGTTGTTTTGTTTGGAATACCTACAGTTCACTTCCAAGCTCACCATCAACCATGCTTAGTTGTCATCAGTGAAGCGAATGTGTTTGCTTGTCTGTTGAGTCTTCTCCAGTCGCATCCTTTCAGCTTTGGCAATCAACTGCAAGCAGGAAAAGTGATGTGGAAAATCAGATTTTGTTAGGATTTGACCTTACAATCGTGGATATAGTCTATCCCTCCCTCCTCCCAACATGGTTGAAGACATGGAAACTTCAATTTCAAAATCCTAAAATACAGCCTCACACAGGAAGTTAAAAACTCTATCCTTTTATTAGATTAATTTTGCCAGTGATGTAGGAATAACAAGGTTAAACTACAAAAAGACCCAAAAAGAGTGCTTTATGAATATTGTTAGATTTTGAACAGGAAAAGCCCCCAGCACACCACAGAAACTCCACACAAACCCACTGAAGAAAAACCACAGAAGCACAAAAACTGCAATAAACCAACACTAAATAAAAAACCCTGATAAACCCCATACATTAACAAATACACAAACACACTGAAAATACACACAAAACCCATGTGCCTCAAAAAACCCCAAACCCAGGAAAACATTCACACTGAAACCACAAATTCACATAAGAACACGCACAGAAACCACAAAACCCCTAAAACCCACACGGGAACATGAAGTAACCACAAACTCCCTGTAACAGCACAAGAATACACACAAAAACACGTACAAAACCCACAAATCAACACAAGAATACACACACAAAGGCTTGTGGAGAAACACCACAAACCAACACAACACCACAACCTGAAGACACAAAAAACCCCCAAAGAATCCAACATATAAACACACTCCAAGGCACATACAGAACCCCCAACTCCCCACTGCCCCAAAACCCCACCAGCCTCCTTAAAAATAACAGAAAAAACCCAAACCCACTAAGAAGCACCAAAACCAACTCCTGAAAATATGTAATCTGCCAAAAAAATACCCAAATGAAAGAAAAATACCAAAACTCAGCCAAGCCTCTCAAAACAGCTGCAAAGTCCCAGTACATGAAGAGAACTAGAAATACATATAAAATCCCCAAATCCCACAAAAACCAACAAAGGCACGTACAGAACCCACAAATCCCATCACAATATACACAAAACCACACATATACAGGAACCACAAACCAACACAAGAAACTACATGAAAATGCACTCACACAAAAATGACATCAAAAATTAAACAAAAAATTAAAAAACCCCCACAACCCCCCCAAAAAAAATAACCAAAATCACCACCCCCTCAAAAAAACAAAACAAAAGCAAAACAACAACAAAAAAACCAAAGAAAAGCCCATAGCAATTTCTCTGCTGGGGACTATGCAACCATAGTTGCTGGTGTTATGGGGTCACTTGCACCCAGGCAATTCAGTGTGCCAGATTTGGAAGAGTTCACATACAAATCAAATTATTTATTATTTCTGCATATGACTGAGTCCTGCACACAGCATGGAGGTTCACGTTGTGCTGCTGCACTCACTGTAGCAAGCAAGATCTGAACCAAATTTCCAGCAATAAAAATTACCTCAAGATGGCTTTTAATTCTCTGATGCCTAAAAAAAAAAGCAGTCTGAAATAGTTCAGCCCTAAGAAGAAGCAGAGGACAGTGGTTTACTCCTTCAGCATATGGGATGGAGAATGACAAACATGGGAAGCTCTAAGATATGACCTGTCTAGTTCATATTGCTGAGTGTTTCCATTCCAGAATCTGCAAGAGGCCTCTAAGATTTCCATTTTTAGCTCATCAAACCAGTACCAGCACCTATGTGTAAGCACCCAGCTACTCCTGAATCCAAACAGGGATCCAGCCCTTCCACAGACACCAGGGAAAGGTGTTCTGGGGTGGCAGCTGTCCCACAGTCACACAGACAGGGAGCTGCCCAGTCTTGCAAGGACACAGCCCCCCAAGCCACAGGCATCATCATCAGGAAGTTGCTGTGCCCAGACATTCCCACCGTCTTCCTTTGCCACTGCAAATTATTCCGCCCTTCTCAAATACTCACTCCCAAATTCTCAGCCCCTCCCCAAATGCCTTTCACTTCTACCAGCCCTCCCACCCTCCTAAACTTCCTCCTTCCCCCGGTGGAAGGGGTCCAAGGTGCAAAGGAGGCTCAGCAGCACCTCCCCGCAGGACATGAGGATCCAAGAGGGAAGCTTGCAGGCACTCACGCCTTGGCTTTGGCAACGGGAGACTCCGACCAGTCTGGAGTTTAAGGCTACAGACTGATGAATTGCTTTAGGCCTGAATAAAGTGGCACTGCCCTAAAAAGCAGCTCTGGCTGGAAGTTTTCCATCTGTATCAGTAAATCATGGAGGTGGTTTCATCAGGCAGTTAAACAGACAAAAGGGAAGATGGATTGGGAAGGGGCAGCAGAGTTGGGAGCAGAGAGGTGACAATCTACCAGGCCTGGGAGAAAGACATTGGACACCTTTTTCATTCCAAGGGATGGCCCGGTCTTTTCTGAGGGACAGCCTAACTCTTTTGGACATCTGGTTTATTATAGGAACTATGCCAGAGAAAGTGAAATCTACCACTTGCTTTGGTTTTGGGCACTGCACCAGCTATCTGCTGCAGTGATCCTTTACCATTATCCTGAGGAAAGCCAAAGAGGCCTGGACTTTTTAAAAAACATGAAAAAGAAGAATCAGACTGCCTAAACTCAAACACTGTGTGCTGCCTGTGATGGGATGCAGTCCATGCATTTCAACACCAATTCCAAAAAAATATAACATGCCTTAATTCCAGTCATAATGCAGCTAAGAGGCAACAAGTTCCACTTGAAAATGTTGTAAGGGATTTCAAACGTCATTAAAAGAATAGACCTTGACAAGAAAGGCACACTAATAGCACATTTTACTGAATAGGTTAAATTATGCTTATTATATTACTTCTTTCTACCTCTGAGACCTTGAAAATAAATTACCTTGGAAGTACTTAAGAAAAATTTTCAAATGGGAAAATATTAACGAACAGAAAAATATTTTTTTACTGGCAGTCTGTATTTCAGGAATACAGCCTGTATACAAGCAAGGAAGGGGTTAAGACTTACTGACTGCAGGGAGGCATTCTTGTCCTGATGTTTTGCTTAACAGCGTTAGCATTTAAATAGAATTCCCTGGCTTTGAAGTTCACACCTCCCTGTGTGGCAAGGTGATGGGCAGGGGGAAGGAGCAGGAGTTTGCATCCTTGTGCTGCCAATTGTTAGGCAGAACCGAGACAGTTTGTATTTGCAAGCCTAGATGAGGTACATTACTGCCCAATTTACACCAGCTTGGTCAACAAATACCAATCTTCAAAAGATGAAGAAGAGAAACTTGATAGCAAGGGCTCCTACAGTCAAAATTCAAGTCAAAGGTCTCACTGGCATCTTTGGTTAAAAAAAGTAAAAGTACATTAAAAAAAAAAATCCTGGCAGCAATCAGAAAAATGTTCTAAACCTGTGGTTTTCAAATTCCAAATTCCCTTTCTGTTTATATTAAAGAAAAATGGCTCGAATCAATGCCATTTTTAGGCCTACAAGAAAATTAAATTAGACTTTTGGGCAAATTCTTTATGCACATCTTTGTTTAAAAAAACTCATTTATCTGCAGGATCTCTGAAAGAACATTCACACAAACAGGATAAGACGCGAAAAATACACCTTGTACAAGATAAAGTTTTGACCCATATGATTGCTGTTCCTTTAGGTCAATGAAATATTTATTTTCCATTTTGTATGGGACAATATTTTTTCCTTAGAGTCCAGGAAACAAAGAGTCTCCAAAGTCAACAACAAATAATTAAGGTCAGGTGATTCCGAAGTTTTGCAAGCCACAGAAAAGAAAAAAAAAAAAAAATCAGGCTAAAGCCAACTCAGAAACCTTATCTGGAATGTGTGTGAAGCAAACCTGGCAATAAAACGTCTGTGAAATACTCTCTGGCTCCTCTCTGTCAAGTCAGGGATCTGACTGGCTTAATCAAGCAACCCTTCATGCCTGGAAGGATCTGCTGGGGCTGGAGCAGAGGCTGCAGCCTGCAAGTTCATTGCAGCACTCCCTCAATGCTGCAGCCCCACAGGCATAGCGAGGAGGAGGCTGCAATGTCCCAGTTTGGAACTGGAAGCTGTACAGCCATGGATGCTGGCAGCAGCACCCAGATTTGGCTGGAACTCTGGGAACACACCAGCATTTGCCACAGCACAAATAAAACTGTGTTAATTGTGAGGGGAATGAGATTCACTCTCAAGAAAATTATTTTCTGGATCATAATAGAGATTTAAGAGTGTAGCACTAGACTTGATTTCACTAGAGCACATCAAGACTACTTAGCTTATTAATGAGCTCATCCAGACGGGGTTTCAAAAGAAATCCAGCTTACAAATTAAGTTCAGGCCTTTAGTCATCGACTTAACTTTCTCCAGTTGTCCCTGTAATAACAAGCCTTGCACTTGTCAACTGGAGCAGGACAGCCACACTCTCTACTTTGTGGCTGTAAAACCCTTGCTGCCAGGTCAGTAGCAAGTGATTTAACACAATTAAATACACAGAATATCAAACCACGTGGAGCAATGCAGGAACATTATCCTGTTTTCAGCCGTGGCTGTAGAGGAAAAAGCTGAGATTTGTAGGTTACCTTCTCAGTGCCCCGCTTCTTTTCTCGAGGCTGGTTCAGCTTAGCTTGTCTGTCCACCAAAATCTTCTGCCAGTAACGCTGTTCATGGTCACCTTGGGGGAAAATTGACATTGAGGAGTGTCAATAAACGTAACCACAAGAAGTGGAAGAAATATTTTATAAGGTAAGCATTAATGAAAATACTTGTTAGGGAAACTAAACAAGTATTTCCCCAGTAGTCTTAAATTTCCTATCCACAGAAGCCACATAGAGTTGCTCTCTACCTGTCATCAGCAAAAGGAGCCGAGTTTTAGCTGAAGTTTCACCACAGCACACACAGGCCCCTTTGATTTACTGATGTACTCAACCTCTGACACATTTTAAATAGCTACCAAACAAGAGAACAACAACAAAAACCAGTAATTACTGTTAGAACAATTGAGACTATTTTGTTTCATCAAAACCATGGCCTGGGGACTTCATGAGTTGTCAGGAATATTTGAACACGGGCAGCAATACAACAGCAAAAAATTCTGCAGCTTTTCTCAGCAGCTACTTTGCAGGGAAGAAGCAGTTTGCCACTGCTCCTTCTGGTTTGTGATGTAATTATCACAATGAGAATTTTGTGATATCATTTTGCACCATCTCAGGGCTCATCTTCAGCCACAGGGAAGTTTCTGAATGATCTCAGAAAAGATTCCTGCAAAAGTTAACATCTCAAGGAGATCACAGATGCTCACCATCTTGCCAGATGCCAAGCTGAAGATACTTAAAGTCAAATCCTGAAGAGTAAAATACTACTGGGAAATCTTTAGTCCCTGCTGTAGAGAGCATTAAAGATTCTTTCCTTTTCATCTTTCACCTTCTGCCACCAAGAAAAACAAAAATCCTTACAGTGAGTCCTTTGTGCATTCCTGGAAAGCTTTTCCATTCTCATTTCAATGAGCCAGTTAGAAAAGAAATAAATCTTAAGACCATGAATGGAATGCTCCTACAATGTAGTATTTATTCCTAATCTCCTACTACACTCTGATGTAAGGATACAAAACCAGAGACAAACAACCAGACACAGAGCACACAGCTGTAGAACACAAAATTTGAAGTTATTTCTGGATCTCTGAAACACAGAGCACACAGGAGACAAATCTATCTCCAAATGACATCAGCAGCACTCACTGAGTCTCAAACTTCAATTAACTTTGATATGATCATGAAGGTTAATGCTTCCATCAAAGCTTCTCCTCCTGCAATCCTTAACTGGCATCTACATCCCTGCACCCAGGAGACTGGTTCCTAAATGAAGATTTAGGCAGGTGTGGGGAAAAATACTTAAATACAGGTGATGCAGTCTCATATTGACTGCTTAACCTGTTTAGGTTCTTTTTCCATATTTACAATTTTTGGTGCATCTCTCAAATACAAAAGCTTTATGAACGCACTAAGTTTGACAGACTTCCTCTTTTTTCTATCCCTCAGTCCCACAAAGGCTACTCCACACTTGGCAAACTAATCCAGTCTAATACAAGCTACACATTTAGAAAAGCACAGTCATTTCAGAAAGAAACAGCACACATTAAAATGAAGTTGAAAAGTAAAGCCCTTCTTATTTTGGCCTAAATTATTCAACTTCCTGAAAACTGAAGATCAATTAGTGGGTAAGTGCTAACACCCACTTTAAGCTTATCCATTCTGTTAGATCCTTGCCATGTCATTTCACACATATGCTCAGTATTTTCAAGAAAGTCTTCCTTTAAAATTTTTTTGCATTATCAGAATGTTCTAGTCAAAAAGCTGCAAAATTAATTAGGTTCTACAGTCCTTTGCCATTGAAAGTGAAGCAAATCCATCTAAAGAAACCAGAATTAAGTTTGTAACAGCAAACAAAAATCATTATTTTGCTCTGAATGGTGACAGTAATTGCAAAATGAGAAGACTCCCAGAAAATAAAACAACTAAACACGCAATCTTTTTCTCATGAGATATCAAAATGTATCCATCAATTCACCAGGAATGATCCCTTTCACAGTCATTAAGGCTTCTCCTGTACTTCCATGAAAAAAAAGAAGTCTTACCAGTGAGAACTTCGAATTTCCAGTTGTTTTTGATCTGTATTTCTTTGTATGATTTCATGACAGTCTGTGCATCCTCAGGAGTCTTAAAACGGACGTGACATTCAGTGTCCCCCTCCAGCATGTCAACATAAGCCACCTCAGCCAGCACTGCCAGAGCATCCTGTCAGAGCATGCGACAACACACACCATAAATCAGCCTTCAAAAAGAGAACTAAAAAGAGTGACTTTTGACCATTCCATTTGGAGGTCGTTACCATTTTCAAAAAGGTCATGAAGTAGGAGGCAGTAACTGAACTTTGTCATTTAATCAATCAATCCCTTGTCAAAGAGTTTTGAATTAACATTTTTTTCCTAAGAAGGTTATAACTGAATTCTGATTTATGAGCCTGCAACATCTACCCATCTATCTCTCATCCTGCACTCCCATTAACAATTTAAAGCAGTAATTCCTGGAAATGTTATGGTATCATTTTACTAATGGATGGATCATCACCCATTTATTTCAACATTGTATCTGATTTTTTTCAAAAGTAAAAACTGTACACGATAACATCGATAGATCTCAGCCTAAGAGAAGAATATCAAACTTGATTCTACACATTAAATGTATAAAAGCAACCTCATGCATGGCAGACGATTTGAGAAAGGAGCAGTAGTAAAACAACTCTATCTTTATGAAGTGACCTCTGCCTGAAAATTTTCACTGACAGCTAAAGGGAGAAGAGTCACAAATGCTCTTGCAGATGAAGCACTTCACTTGTAATTCCTGCTGTTAGGGAAATTAAGTAGGACCACACATTCCTAGTCAATTTTGTTCACAGCAGGCCTCTCAAGTAAGATGCTTCTATTCAGGAATCACACACTGCTTTTAACCCTCCCCTACCAAAGGCAACCTTAAAACAAAACAAAAATTAAGTGACAACACCATTAAGATCATTTGAGAGCCAACAAAAGCTACTTTCCAGCCTTATTTTGTTATCCCTAAGTGATCATTTCATGGAAAACTAAAACTAACCAAACAGTTTGTTGGAGCTGGCAAAAGTTAGTAGCTCTGAGGATGAGGAGCACCTTAACGGCAAAATAGGGAAGCAGAGAAGCGTAAACATCAAAATAATATTTAAACTACACTATAAAGACCTTTCCAAGTTGTGTGGAATGCATCACTGCTTCCATACAACGAAAAATGCAGCTCAGTTCTAGAAATCTGAGAAGAAAAAAGGCCTGAAGCACTGCTTAGTGGCAGTTTGCTCCAGCTGACAGCCCAGTAACACAGCAACACCAGGTCTGGTTGCACTTCTGCCTTCCACAAAGTTATGCAACTAGTGTGGCCAAAAAAAAAAAAAAGTATCAAAAGAATTTAAGTTTTCTGCTTTTTAAATAATAAGTGGTCATGTTGCCCACAGCCTATCAGGGTGTGACACAACCCAGTGAGGTATATCCTACAGTCCAAGAGGCCAGTCAAAGGCTACAGGAACAATTTGCAGCACATTGTCTCTGTGTCCCCAGCACTCAGACAGCTGCCTACAAACACAGGGAGGAAGACCAGGCTGATTAAGCTAAAACCCCACCACAGTGAGATGAGGGTTTTCAGTGACACAGTCTCTCATGTGGCTTAGGTTCATGTACACACCAAGCCCCACACACTTGGCAAGCAGCCGGTGACTCGAAATGGCCTCCGTGGTTACAAATGTTTGATAAACAGTAGCAGAACTTGCATTTTAAATCCTGAGTGGGCTGGATATGTGTGTGCACCAACCTGAGTAGAAGTTGTTCAAATTCTTTGTAGCTGCTACTCATCCTAAAGTGCAATTGCGGAAAGAAATGCCCTGAGTAACATTAACAGAAAATTCAGGATCTGGAAAAAACCTCTTCTTTCCTTTGGAAAACTCTTAATATTTCCATTTCAAAAGGATGCAGCTTAAAACTGCTATTTTCCTTAGAAAGAATTTATGTGTGAACTTGGTTTGTGTCATCACACAAACCTGAAGATATCTAACCACTTTTTAAATCGAGAAAAATAAGTACTTGCATTAGGAAAAGAGACTGAATCAACAAGTTCCACTGCTGTAACTCTCCCTGAAATAGAGTTTTTTGTCATTGTAAAATTGTTTCTGAAATAAAGAAAATTGGTTTCTCATGCAGAGAGCATTTTCCTGCCCCCAAATTCCTGCTAATGATAAAAACACCATAAACTTTTACAAGTCCCCACAGGTATACTTTCATAGGTCTCTCGTCACGATGACTGGCACAGTGACAAATGCAGAAGACTGAAGAACTCTCCAGTTCTTTTTTTTTTTAACTGAAAAAAGCAACAGAGCATTGCTTATTCTCCTCAATGTTTTCACGATAAACTTGACATTGCTCCAAGCACACTAAAGGCTTGGTTTTACTTTGAAACATCCTCCTTCACACTATTCTGCCACTGAAAAATCTACCATTAACAGACACTAAAATTTTTTTACTCATCTACTGGCCAAATAAATAAAACAAGAAAAAAAAATCAGTGAGACTGGGTGAAATGGTATTCCATATTCAAACATTTGGGGGGCAGGGTAAGAGGAAAGGCTAACAGCTACCCTGAGGTTACAAAGGCATTACCTTGATCTGCTTCCTGCCCGGCAGGGGCTCGGTGCTAATGATCTTCACAATTACTCCGCTGACAAACTGAGGCCCCATTGTGTTGGCCTTGGCGGGAGGGGCACAATCTTCACTGGCGGCTGGTCAAGTAAAAACGGGGTGGGGGGAAATAGAAAAAAGTTTTTACATTTATCCGGTTGAAAAAATTAAGACATTATGAAAGCACAGAAGTAACAATGTAAACAAGAATCAAATATGGTTACTGCAGTTTGAGGTTTATTAAAAGAAGGATCAAGATTCTCCACAGGTTCATGTCAATTTTACTAAAAAATGAAACAGCTTCAAGAAAAAGTCTTTGAGACATTTTTACAGACCATAGGGTCCTTCCTATAAAGACATTTTATATTGTACCAATAGTAACCCCGCAGTTATAGAGTGACTAAAAACATGCAGAGGGCCCACTGGAACATCAGTGTTGAGGTGAGTGAAGAGAAGCACAGAATATTCAGAAAAAATAAAAGAAAGAAGAATGCTAAACCAGAAATAAAAGTAGAAATTTAACTACAAAGATATAATTTCAAAGCTCTTCTTGTCCCTAGAGCTGATAAAGCCCAATTCCAAGCTGTTTTTTTAAGTACCTGTGGTACAATTAAATCCAAGCAGGTCTGGCTCAAGCTGCAGCACCAAGAAAACTCATTGTTCATTTACCACTCTGAGGCCTAATAATTACAATTACCTAAATATATCTGTAAGCCTGGCAAGTACTACTGAAATATGCTGAAATCACTTTAGTATTTACTTACGTAACTCCCCTAGTACCAAATCCATCTAAATACAGGGAGGGAGTAACTTTTACTATATGACATTTTGAGAAAACAGCAGAATTTTATAAAATAAAACCTTGTGGCAGGGTCTTGCACCACTTGTGTTAGCATAGGAGAAACACTTAGGAAACAAGACAAAACCCAAGATTACTTTTGCCATTTTCAGATTTCTGCACACCAGATTCCGTCTCCATTTCCCCCATGGGCTCAGGTTTGATTTGAGACATCGTTTTCTTTAGGGAGGCCATACTGGCTTTCTGCAGAGCCAAATATTCCTGCTTCAAATCCATCCATTCAGTCCTAAAAGCAGCAACACAGACACAAGATTTCAGTTGCAAACAAGAAACTGATGTTTCAAGACTTAATGGTAATTTAACAGGTTACAAACAGCTGTAGGTGGACTTGGTGAACAGTGCAGACCATTCTGTTACTGGGAATCTCCCTGCACTTCAGTCAAAATGCAATTTTGTCCCTAACTCAATTTCCCAGGACTTTGCAAAAAGCAAAATCCAACACCACCAACCTATCATTCTAACAGAGTGGCTTTCTAATTTGCTTTAAATATGCAGACAGCATAGAGAAGAGTTTGGTGAACTGTGTTTTCCACTAGAACTACACAGAGCACAAGCACGGAATTCAGAGTTAATTCAGAGACAGTGAACTCTCAATTCACTGAATTAGTCCAGTGAACCCGCTCCTGTGTCACTATATTAAGAATCAGTCATTCATTTTCCAGAAAAAAAATCATTGATAGAAAATCGACTACTGGTTAAACTCACCAAAAATCTACCTAGATAAGGACATTCCTCCCTATTCAAATGGATTTTGGTTAAAAAATACCCCCCCATGGAAGCAATTTATATATTTACATACATTTAACATGGAGATGTTTCTGCAAACAGCGAGAGCTTTGCTCCACAGCAACACAATGCCTGCAGTGCCACTGTGAGAACGACTCATTGTTACCCTAATCTGTGCTATCAAACAAGCTGATAGAGGATTTTTAAAGAGGAGGATATCTTGTGGTAATGGTTTTAGCTGTTAACAGTGACAACTGTATACTTCAAAAAAGCATCCAGACTCGCCCAGGATCATACATTCTCAGCAGAGCAAAGGCATTAAAATAACAAAAGACCCACGTAATGATTCTTGGAGATAAAAAGGCAACACCATCCCATAGCAAGGTTTGGTATAAATACGAGCTCAAGGAGAAACTTTGTGACTTGCCAAAGGAAGAGATCATGCAGGTAAGTATTTGCAATGCTTATACTCTTTAAACATTTTATCCTTTTGCTAGAGTTGAATAACTTTTAACCAAAACTCTTGTGTTTGTTGCAGTTTGCTCAGAATGCCGATGGCAGAGGACAAGCTCCGCCGATAAACTTTTTTTTTTTTTTGTGGACCCCTTTTACTTTAACATGGAGGTGCTTTCTGTGACATAGAAAAAGTAAGTGCTTCCATGTTTTAGTAGAGGTGAATCCTGATCGCAATCCGGGATTATACATTTTTTTTTTTTTTGGTCTGCACTTCAGTTGAAGATTTTTAGATCCTGGAGATTTTTAAATCCAGCAAAAAGAAGTTTAGCTGTGAGCAGATAAAGTGGCTAAAATTAAACTGAAGCGATTTTTAATTTTGAAGGTCTCCCTTTGCTTTAACATGGAGGTACCTGCTGCCTAAAAAAGTAAGTGCTTCCATGTTTCAGTGGCGGTGGATCCTAATGCTCGAAGACTTCCTACAGGAAACGTGCCTAGATGTTTTTTATTACTGCATTTTTCTATTTTTATGTTGTTTTTCCCCTGAAGGACCCCCACAACTTAAATGTGGACGTGCTTGCTTTGGCTCACAACAGTAAGTGCTTCCATGTTTTAGTGGTGGTGAATCCTTTTAACCTCAACACTTTCCTCTGGAAATGTATCAAATTATAAAAATGTGTTTCTACATAAAGCACAATTTTGCAGCACAAGGCGGCAAGGACCCCCTCTACTTTAACATGGAGGTACTTGCTGGATGCTTAAAAAGTAAGTGCTTCCATGTTTTAGTTGTGGTGACTCCTAAAAGCCCAACGCTTGGATTATATGGTTTGCAGAAATTTACACATGAAGCAATGAAGAGTCCTCAATCTTGCTACAGGCTAATACTGTTGCTAATATGCAACTCTGTTGTATAAAAATTGGAATTGCACTTTAGCAATGGTGATGGACTGTCAGACATATCAAGACTTCAGAAATAATTTCATTGGTATGAAATATGTGAAAATAAAGTTTTAAGCAATAAAACTTTAATAAAAAACTATACAAAACGTGTGACTTACATTTTCCTACAAGTGACAAAAAACCGCATTCTGCAGGAAAACCTGAACATCCACACATTGTACAAACATTCAAAATGTGGTACCACAAAGCAACAAAATTTACAATATCCCCCAGGGTTTATACTTCATAATTACAGTAGGTGTGACAAATAGAAAAATTGGGGGATCTTGTTTTCATTTAGGAGGTCCCTTTACAAAGCCAGCCAACCACTTCCCTAGTACTACTATTAAAATAAATCTATGGTATCACAGAAAACAGGTAATTTATATCACCTACTTGGAGAGCACCCTGAGGGGGATGACTTCTTCACCCATTTTGTGTCTCTCTTTGTGTTTTTTCTTGTGTTTCCTTTTAGATTTGGAAAGGGATGTGTCTTTTTTGTCTTTGTCTTCTTCTGCAGAAACTTCTATATTAAAACAGATAAATAAAAACGTTTAATTCAAACATGGACAGTTTAACCATTATTGCAATAAAATCACATTCAATATCTACAGGTTCTTTGCATTAACTACTTCTGGTCTATGTTCATTGAGTTTACTTAGCTTCTTACACTAAATCTCATTTCAATGCAGCTTATCTCATGCAACAAACGGATCATTAGCGTCTCCCTTTTGTATTTTAATTTATTTATCTGTGTTCCCATGCTGTCTCCCTTTGCCCAACCTGTCTGTTTAACCCTTACTTTACTTCACTCAAGTTCTATCAATAGGAACTTTTTTTGAACTATTTTGACTTCTGATTAAATTTCCCTACTTGCAAGTTTTTCATCATTCCCTGTGCAGGTCCTCTCCTTAGAGTGACTACAAGGTTTAATTTTAAGTGCAGGGAACATTAATATGCCAAAGCTGATCTAACACTCCCACTATATCCATCCCATCACTCCTCATCCATAAGGGATATCTACAATTCCATTTAATTCATGCAGAGAAATCAAATTAATAAAAAGAGGTAAGAATTCCTACCATTGGAATCTTTTGGAGCTTCTGTTGTTTCTTCTTTCACTGTTTCAACTTCATCTTTTTCAGCAGTTTTCCTAACTTTTGGAGCTGATGTCTCACCATCTCCTGAAGTGGTTATTTTTCTCTTTCCTGGCCTGCTTTCCCAGGTTACCTCTGAGCTCTCTGCTCTGTCCCATTTCCTCTTCTCCCTTTTGGAGGGTTGCTTGGGAGTCTCAGTTCCCTCCATCTCAGAACACTCTGATGGAGTCCTGTGTCTTTTAGACTTGGGCACTGGCTCTGTTGTAGCGTGAGTGTTTGATTCCTTTGGCTCTGCTGCAGCTGCCTGTGCATTGCTCTCTTTCTTGATTTTAGATTTCTTCTTTTTTTTCTTTTTCTTCTCTTCTGGATTAAAACCACAACATTTAAAACTGCCCATGATTAAACATTGGATTAGATTATTTACTTAAACTGCAAAATGAAAGCAGCACATGATAAACTGGGTTGCCAATCTATGGAAGAGATGCAAGATATGAACACAAAGTTTCTCCTGGCTGTTTTGAGAAGATAAAAAAATGAGTCTAAAGCACGGTTTGGAAACCACTGGTTTGATTTCATTTTTTAGTTTCCACTTAACAGTTGCTGGTATAACAAATAACTGGTGATAATTGTGAGGAATATTAATGTGACTTATCATCAGTCTTACAAAAAAGAGAGAGGGTATCTGGGGAAATTGTATTACACCACCAGAAATTAGGGAAAATGTTTGAGTGATGAGGTTGTAACATAAATCTGGGATACTGGTTTGTAAATTACAGTAGATTTTTCATACCTCAGCCCACGCTGGCCAGCAAGGTGAATTGGTTTTCTGAAAAGCTTTTAAAACACATGAAATTAAACTGCAGTAACACAGAAGAGAAAATTTTCTCTTCAGAAGCTGAGGCACCAAACCGATCCAAGAAACTTAATAACACTTCCTTCATCCCAATAACTTTGTACTACTCACCTACTACAGTGTTGTCACTTGAATTCAGTGTAGGAACTGGTTTATTCTTTACTGTTTTGGGGAAAATTCCAGGTTTCCGTGGTGCTTCTTCTGGTGGATTATTCAAAAACTAAAACAAGGAAATTGAGAACCACATAACACCACAAAACCATACTTTCTTTAAAGAGTCTGGATCCAAGTTAATCCCAAGAATCTTTATCACACTTCAATATATAATACTTTCAAATCACATTTCAGTACAGAAAATTAGGTATGACTATGCTTGCTTGATGAAATTTAAACACCATTTTTTGTTACACAGAGACCTTTTTCTGTAAAAGATGCCAAGTGTGGCCAACTAGATTACTCACCAAAAAAAAAAAAGCCATTATATTTCTAAGTCTTCAGGTTATTAATAAAATTAAATCTTTAAAGAACTGTGACATTGATTGTAGGTCTGGAAGCAGGAAAGAGGAGCTAACTCCTGCTAAGTGAAGCTTTTAAATGGTGATATTTTTGGAATTTCTCTAAGATTCAGTGGGTGACCTAGTAAAGAGCACACCATCCATATCACAATGTGACGCCAGGAACTATGCCAGCAACAGAGGCAGCAGCACTCACCTCAATGGCTTTCTCTGCTTGTTCTTTAGTTTCAAATTCAACAAAAGCAAAGCCCTTTGGATCCCCAGTACTTCTGTACCGGGGGATACTGACGTAAACTACATTGCCACACTTCCCAAACACCCGCTCAATCCAATTGTGATTGACGTTTTTGGGAAGCAGCTCCTGAAGGAGAAAAAAATGGAAGTTTGATATCAAAACGTTGAGAGGCAAAGTATCCAGGTCACAAAATGTGACCTGAGAACAGATCTCTAATTATTTCTATACGTATAATAAATATATTAAGTATTTAATTTAGATGCTTATCTTCTTCACATGACAAATACCAAAACCTCACCCGCAGCTGGATCTCTGCAATACAAAATCTCTTGGTAAATTTAAAACCTTGGAGCAAATACCAGACTGGCTTGTCCACAACTACCCTCTGCAAAGCACAAGCTATTTTTTTTTTTAATTGGTGATAATGCAGGAAGCTATCACAGAAAGAATTCCTGCAGTCTGGTAGTCACTACTGATAAAATCTTTGCCAGTAGCCAGTATGAGCAGAACCTTTTAGGCAGTTTCTTGGATGACAAAGTTGTCTGAATTTTACTTCTATAAAGTCCTTAATATAGCAACAGGTTTTAGCACCATGCAGAAACCCATGTCTGAGTTCAGCATTTCCCCTCCCCAACCACACAGAAATCGCGTCACACCGATTTCTCACTAGACACAACAGAACACTTTAAATTCCCACTCTCAAATTCATGCCTAAACAACAATAGTGTCTGCACTATTTCATTTTTTTTTCATGACAAGTTACTGCACTAAAAGGTTCTCCTTGCAAGGGAACACTTATCACATTCAGATTTTCTTTTTTCATAAACGTTGCCATCCTCAGAAAAACATTTTGTTATGTTTTGGCTTTAGATTGAGAAGCCCGTTACGTTAAGTTTTTTTCAAGTTTTAACAGTATAATAGTGAAGTCTATGGTAAAGCATCCAAAAAAGTCAGAAAATTTCAGAGAAATGTAACTCACCAATACCTGGACTACTTCTACTCTCCCATTGCCACATACCAGCTATTTACAAAACATTTAGCCGCAGGCTTAAGATCTGTATGGACAATGTAGCTCATGACTTAGAATATCTTATCCAAAAATGATATAGACAAAGTATTTCACAGTTCTAAGCAGTCCCTGTAACCATGTTAGGAAAATATTCTGTCTGGGACATTGTATTTAAAAAAAACAAAAACCAACCACCTTTCTTCCCAGACTTTTGTTGAATAAGCAATCATCAGAGCAGATGAGTTCCTCCTCATCTGAATGGGCTGGCATTCCGGCCATGATTATTGTGTATCTTTATCACAGAAAACTCAGTGCTGTCTGGAAAACACTTAACTCGGCAGCTAACAGCTACAGGTACACAGCAAAAATTGTACTTGTCATAAAAAGCAAAGAGAGACAAAGTACATTCCACAGTGGATTCAAATCTATTAAAAAAAATTGCCTAGGGTTTAAATAAGCAAAAGCTCAACCACAGATTTATTGATAATCTACCACTTAGTTGGCTCCACAATGCAACAGCTTTTTCACTCAGAAGGGGCTGAAATACCATAGTGAGACGCAGACTTATCCCATCAGCACAAACTATTTTCATTTAAATTAAGCAGTCATTCCAGTATCAAGGGAGTCAAGGGACAGTGCGCTATTAGGAGATTAGTTAAAATTTTTCAGGTATAGTTCTGCCTTGAAAGGAATGGTGTTTGTGTGTACAAAACCAGAGGCACTTACAGTAACAGATCTTATACACAGATAATGCTGTTTAAAGTACCCTGATAAACTTGGAAATGCAGCTAGATCCTGTTTGATGAAGCTAATTTAGTTGCTATTAGAAAGCTTTAAGTGCATTCATGTAATTAGTAAATATTTATTAATACCACTGGTGCTCCTCTAAAAAAGCCCAGTGAACACAGCAATAGCTCAGTGCAATGAAACTGCACCTTTTCAGCCTGGGAAGCAGCACGCTGCTCGGCATTTAAACCTATTTAAGCTGGCACAACAAATCCCTGCACCAAAGGAAGCCCTTTCTTGGCACAGCCACTCTCAGCTCTTGCTCACCTGCCTGTGCTTAATTAATTTCTTTTACCTTTGCTGCACAATCAGCAGCAGCCAAGCAAAATCCCGGTGCACAAATGGAGTTTCCTTAGTTAGGAACAAACAGGCAGGGACACACACAATGCAGCCTTACCACATAGACAGTCCGACTGTCCACGTCCTTTGGACACTCGCCCAGAGGCTGCCGTCTCCTGATCCTGGTTCCTTCCAAGTCCAACTGAAAGCAGGGAGAAATAAGCATTTCCATGAGATTATTGCTTCTTTCAACACCCCATCAGAACTTTTCCAGCACCAGCAAATACAGAAGGGTGAGATGCACAATACCTCTACAACAGATGAACTTTTAACTGCCCGAGCGATCAGCTTCCCATCAGTAGTCAATTTTTTCATTTTGTTGAAAGAAACAAGAAGTGATATGTCAACATCTAGGGGAGAAAAAAGGGTAATTATGAAATCAGGTGATGTGTTCTACTCAATTTGTTTTCTTGTGAAACAACCTGCAAGTTCTAAGTGCAGTATTTAACCAAGGATTCACAGAAAATTTTTACCATCAAAATTTAATATGTACACCTAAAATTAATTTTCTTCTGTGCTAACCTTTATCAAAGGAATTTTGTTCTTTTACTTCTCCACTGATAACTTGTCTTTGAAAAGAAAGGAAGAAAAACCCCTTTTCTGGTGTAGTTTTACAGCACAAAAAACCATTTGCACTGAAAATATGCCTCCTTCAAATACTCATTGAGTATTCAACCCGGTGCTGCCAACACAGAGGCCCTGCTTGCACCTCAGTTTCAACCAGACACGCTGCTAAAACCTTGTAGAAAATTATGCAGCATTAATCTTAATAAAAATTTAGACAAGTCTAGTATCTCTAGAAAACGTAGGGTAATTTTTACTTCTTTCTTACTTCAGTAATTATTTAAGGGGGCCCTTAGAAAAGTTCAAACAACCACATAAAAAACTATCTGAGGAGACTCACAGTGACCCTACAAGCAAATACACAATTTCTTATCAAACCTGTAGAGAGAAAATTAACAAAATACCTATGCTTAACAACATATTTGAGTGACGTTTTAACTTCTGCATCTATCAACCCTGAAAAACAAGTACAGTACCTCTGAGGACTAAATTGCTCTTGTTTCATGGCTTGTTCTTAAAATTATACAAAACTGAAAAAGAAAATCATGTCTCCCAGACAGACATTTCTACCCTGGCAGATGTCTTTATCCTAGAGCTGACAGGACAGGAGAAGAGCAAGAGCAAATAAATTTTTTAAAATCTAGTACTAGTTCTACCTCCTGAGCTGCTGATGCTGATTTCCAGCATGGAACTCCTGTCTTTTTCAGGAGAAGACACTCTCCTCAAAATGATCTGTCACTGGTGCCAGCAATACAGGCAAGAACAAAGTGAAACTTAAGTGTTTGCTGAAATATACTGAAAAGAAACTTACACCCATCTCTGGACTTCTCTATTTGTTCTCGAAGAAATCTGTCTTTGTGGAGATTAACATCACCAAACCAGAAATCCACTTGCTTGGCTATATCTGCCAGCACCTGTTTAACTCTTGACCTCTTCTTCTTCTCTCTTTCCTTTTTCTGCTCCGTGCTTTCTTCTTCCATAGCTTTGTCTCTTGCTGTTTCAGTCTCCATTCCTGTCATTCTATCAAATGAGACATAAATATAATTTTAAAAACACAAAAGGAGTTATTTCAAGGAGTAAATGTTCTTGTGTAATCTTCTGCCTTGTTACCAGAAAAGCAAGTTACTTGCTAAAAGGAGTCTGCAACAACTAAAGATGAAAAGCAGGTAACTTCCCTCCTCATAAACACATTTATCTAAGAATTGGAAACATGATTTTTTCTCCACTCCCCCAAACTCACTGTACAAACCATCATAAAGATCACACACAAAAACCATGAGCACTACACACTTCAGAAACTAACCCTGTATTAGCCTTGATCACGGCAGATCTGCTAACAGGAAGGTTTGTTTTTAAAAAAATTGTCTTTATTATGCCAAAAATGCAAACCACACACACCAGCAGCTACCAAGGCCCTGCCCAAGAGCAGCAAGTGAATGAAGTGTCTCTAATGGCAAACCTAGGTCTGTCAGAGCTCTAGAACAGGCCCATGGAAAATAAACGCTAACTAGAACCAAGTGACTCAGTACACAGATTCATCTTGAAAAGTATAAAACCGTTTTAGCACCAATTCAACTCTTTTGTTCACGTTTCAATTCGCTGTAGCTGAGACCTGCCAGTCACCACTTCAGTACCTCATTTCACGCAAACAAAACAAAGAATGCTGCCAGAAGCAGACAGCTTTTGGAAAATTAAATTAACACAAAAATTAAAGTAATTAATGTCGAAATCACCATATGAAAGACTTCTCAGCTCTCTGCCAAGGCAGCAGAGAGTGAAACGAGAGCACAGCCATCAGAGAGGAAGCCCACCTCGACAACAGGATGGCGAAATGGAAATCGTCCCCAAATTCTTGTGCAAATCAGGCTTCCTCAGCCGGAGATCAGCCTCTCCCCCGCTGTGAGCTGACGACTCGAGATAGTGAAAGGTCAGCAGTCACCTTGAAGAGATAAGCCAGGTAAAACTGCTCAGCAAGTTCAAGCTATGCTCAAGCTCTTCAGCAAGCTTTTTATATTAATAACCAGCAGGCAACGCGCTGCTCAGCTGAGGGCCGCACTGAGGAGCTTCATGAAGGTAAAATGTCATTATGGGCTATCTGTCGCGGCTGAGCAGCATGGAGGGACCACACCGACACATTAGTGTGGCCCAGGGGCAGCACAGCTTTGTTTAGAGAAGCATTTGGAGTCACTCAGCTCCGGGACTTCCTTCCCAGAAGAGAGGTTTTCATTCCAGCTAGAAAAAAAGCAGCTGCAAGCTGCACTCCAGCCTTTCCCCTCACTTTGTCCTTTAGAAATGAAGCTTTGAGGAAACTACTTCGTACTCCAAGCTCCTCCCGAGTCAGAGCAAATATCAACTATTAATATATCCATAAAAACCCAAGTAATGAATTCAGCAATCGCCAAGTGCCCGGATGTAAGGCAGACTGTATTCCTCACAGGCCAACTCTCACACTACCAGCACTACTCTGATAAACAAATTAAAATCAGAGCAAAGCAAAGGCAGAGTCAAAACTTACACTGATAAAGCAAAGGTCTCCTCAAAAAAAAAAAAAAAAATCACAGTGCCTCTGTGTGCCAGAATGAAACCAGAAAAGGAGGGACAATTAAACAGGGGGAAAGAACTTTAGGAAAGCAAAGATAATATATAATAAATAAATAAAAATAACACAGCTCCACACTCATCTATAGAAACTTCTCTAGGCTCGATAAAAATTAAAGATTTCAGTGCTAAGCTATATACAACCCCAGTTTCTATTATTATCAACATCTGGAAAACATAATAAAATTAAACTGTAATACAAGGCCTAGAGGAAACAGGGTGCAGATATAAAATATACTTTATTCTTTTAAACACGGATGCAAATGTTTATTTGCTTGGGGTATTCTAAAAATTAAAATGGGGCAATAAGGGATGAGGGAGAAAAAAGAAGAATTTAAAATACATTATGTACAGTGAAAATGTTTTTGTAGAGTTAGGGGCAGCCCTAGGTATGTACTGCAGAATAAATGTAAGTATTCAGCAAACCTGAAACTATTTAAAAAGACATATCCTGGAACAGTTTTACACCAATACAGACACAGGCAGAGCTGCAGGCTGAAGTTCCTGCCCTGCCCTGAAACATCTCTCCATGTAAAATGAGGTAACAAAGGACAGGAGATAATACACGGGGGCCAGCACAAATTTCTTAACCTAAAACCAGAAGAACTTCTGCTTTTCCTCTCCCATTTTATGCAATTAAACCAATGCATTATCTTAAACTGCAGTTTTAAGGCATTTGGTGGACTTCATGAAACCGGTGTGCCCAAAAACATAGAAGGCTTCGCTTCCACTGGACTGCGACGAGTGTTAAAGCTGTTCCCACACCTGTGTGTAAGTTGTGCCCTTCCCTCTGTCACCTCAGGAGGCGCAAATTGGATTTATTTGTGTTCAAGACCGGACGTGGGACTTAGTGCCATGGTCTGGGTGACAAGGTGGTGATCGGTCAGAAGGTTGGACTCCACCTGAGGTCGTTTCCAGCACAAGCAATTCTGTGGTTATAATTAAAATATATGCCAGCACCGGACTCCAATTAGATGGGTTCACCTGTATGACACCAAAAGGGCAGCACAACTCCTTCACCTCACAGTATCTCACCCTCAAGAAACACAACTGAATTTTAAGACCTGAGAACTTATTTCTGGCTCTTCCCTGTGGGGACAACTAAGTGATTAAGGAACTGAACAAACAGCAGAGCTGCTGGAGGGAAACAAGATGTACTTGGAAGGAGAATGGATGGTTACAAAAACCAAGCATTCTCTGGCCTTAGTAGCTGCTGCACTAGACCAAAACCACTGAAAATCTATGGGAAAAACCTCACCTTCTTTACTCTTCAAATAAGGGGCAGACCACAATGTGAAACAGATTTTTCTAGCCCTGACTTACCCTGAGAAGCCTGAGCGCCACACACTTACCACTGCACAGATAATGACCACTGCAGGTGCTACTGCTGAAGCGATTCACAGATTTTACCGACAGAACACTTAAAAAAACAAGCCACACTAAGCCTGAGGGGTCCAAAGACCCCTCAGCACGAGTCCCTTGGGCCCAACAGCAGCCGCCAAGACGCACAAGAGTCACCTGCGCATCACTTGTGGGCAAAGCCACCACAGCGCCCCGGGGCAGCGACGAGCCCTCAGGAAAGCGCCACAGGCGTGGGGAGGAGCGGGCAGCGGGCGAGGAGGATGCCCAGGGGGCGGGCAAAGGACGGGCAAGGGTTACACAGCGATGCCCTGAGGGAACCGATGCCCTGAGGGGACCGATGCCCTGAGGGGACCGACGGGACCCCCCCGCCCCGGCCGTGAGGGGAGCGAGCGGGGGCGGTGGGGGGGGAACTCCGCGCGCGGGCGGCGGGAAAGCCGCTGAGGGGGCGACAGCGCCCCCTGTCTGCGCCGCCGCCACCGCTGCACCGGCAAACCCACACCCCCTCCCCGGCCGCTGACCTGCTGCGGCCGCCGCCGCCGCGCCGACACCGCTTCGGCTCCGCCTCCGCCTCCGTCCCCGCCGGTCCCGGCGCGACGCGGTGCCCACTCCCCGCCTTTCCAAGAAGAAGGAGAGAGAAGAGGGGGGGGAAAAAAAAATAAAATAAATAAAAAAAAAAAAAGCCCCGCGGCGGCGCCCGCGCGTGCGCGGCGGCGTCGGGGGCGCGCCGGGCTCTGGGCGCACGTGACTTCCTCCTGGCGGGGCGTCGCGGGCGTCGTGACGTCAGGCGGGCGCTGCGGCGGGAAGTTCGGACGGGCGGCGGCGCCCCCGCCTCCAGCCCGGCGCCGGTGCCCGAGCCCTCGGTAGGAGCGGGGCGGCCGCCCGGCCCTCGGGAGTGCGGCGGGATCCGCTCGGGGCGGCCCCCTGGGAGGCGGCGCTGGCAAAGGGCTGTGTGGAGGCGGCGGGTCCCATTGCCCGCGGCGTTGGCTCGCTCGGGAGCTCCCTAAGGGCTCGCACGGAGCCAGCTGCTCTAATAACCTGAGGAATATCGCTGTCCTCAAAAGCGTGTGCTAGGATCTTCACCTTATGAAGCACCCAAGCAGATGGCAGCTATAAGAAACAGCGCGAATCTTTCCCCTTTCCGTCATATAAGCTGTTTCTCACCAATCTAAAGCGTGATATATATATATAAATATTAAACATAATACATTTACGTGAAATATATTAAATTAAAATTATTCATACACGTGCAGTATATTTAATTATTAATTTTAAATGTTTATAGATTAAAAATAAATATAAAAATTTATTTTGAAGTATTTTGCAGTCTCACTTCAAATATGCAAAGGGGTTTGGCTTCACGGGGAGTCAGTTATTTTTTGCATGAGCTAAACATGCATGACCAACTCCACACCTGGGACAAAATCATTCTGGTAACAGCTTTTTTTTCCCTGCAAGTAAACTTTTGGCTTTTTAATTCAAGTAATTCTGAATAAGAGTATTCAGGGTTGCTAGCCATTCATTTAAATGAATTAATCCATCTAAAAGCTGGAAAATAGCTTGACATCTATTAAAAAGACAGATTTTTTTTATTTTTTTTTTTTTGCCAGCAGTGTGTTAGATTGTTTCTGAGGTTTCTTTCTAAAATGCCCACAGCAGCAGCTCTACCACACTGATTTGATACCACTTTGCATCTAATTTTTTTTTTTTTTTTTTTTTTTTTTTTTTTTTTTTTTTTTTTTTTTTTTTTTTTTTTTTTTTTTTTTTTTTTTTTTTTTGAGGGGGAAAAAAATAAGTAATCTTTTGTCCACACTTTTCCTTCACAGCTCTTGTGCATCCTGACCCTTTCCCTGTCTCTCAGGCTGTGGGAAGATGTGGATATTTGTGAAATAAGCTTTTGGATGACTGTGTTGCCAAAGCAATGGCCTCACAAGAATTTACGGTGAGTGATTTTTACCAATCACTTTTAAGTAGGTGTAAGTTTAGAGACTGTAGCTACTGAACTATTTGAACATTTTCTTACTTGTTGTTTTTTCAATATTTTACATATTTAAAACAGGTGTTATACACTCACCAAAAGATGAAAAAATCAAAAACATGGCAAGATGGAATTCTGAGGGTTAGAACTGGCAGAAATCAGGTGAACATTCAGATTTAAGACTTTACATCGACTGCTGCCAGTGGCAGTCTAGCTGATTGGTGAAATAAATGGTTATTTAAATTTTTTTTTTTTTTTTTTTGCAGGCTACCTTGTTTGATGATAAAGGACAATGTCTAGAGAGTATCTTTATAAGATCTCAGGTATCTTTTGTTCAGAGTTGTTATTTTTATATCTGATTGTACTTTGTCTTTCAGGCAGCATTTCAAACACGTTTGGTAGCTAAAGAGTCATTTTTCTTCTTGTTGATATGAAACTCTGCTACAATGCAAATAATGGAAGGGGAACTATTTATTAATAGATCTTACTGTTTGTCCAGAAGGCTTCATGGAATTTTTCTTCTTCTGTGGTAAAACAGTGTATTACAGTGATATATGAGATAATCATTGAATCTAAGTGCTAATGCTTTTTACAATATATGTATAAATAAAAATATTATATGGCATCTGTGGTATAATAGGTGTAAGTACCTGAATTATTTACATATAAGTACTTAAAATACTGTATTTTTTTTTTAATAAAGCTATACGATATTGTTTCTTATACAGTACTGTTATGTACACACTGCTTCTCTCTCTTTTCCAGGTGTCTCCTGGAGATGATTTCGAAAGTGATCGATATTTAATCACAGTTGAAGCAGTCAAAGGGAGTGAAAAGCCTTCTGAAGGGCAGCCAAAGCAAGCAGAAATTCCAGCAGTGGATAGAAATGGTGTAAAACCTGGTCTTCGACCGCCAAGACATCTCCCTGTTGGCTTGAAAAGGAAGTTTACGGTGTGTTTTTGTTCTAAATTTTTATGTCTCATGTTTACATGCAGTGTAAAACACAAGGAAAACATATTTTCATGAATGGTAAATATATAAATATATGCATCATTTCTTCCTGCCTTCTTTTTTTTTTTTTTTTCCTGTAATCCAGACTGTGTTTTTTCCACATTTAGGAAATTTGGTTTAGCAGGATTGGTGTTGCCTAGAGTAAAAATCACAAGGGCTCAAGGTTGTTTCTATGCACCTGTGAATTTGTTCAGAATATATTTTCAGGCCATTTGATCAGAATGTAGTCCATGAAGTGTGCCCCGTTTTCATCATGTGATTACAAAATGTGGATTAATTGAAAATTTCTCTCCCAGGGGTTCCAAGGACCACGCCAAGTTGAGAAGAAAATACCAGCTGTGGAAGATGAAGGAAAACCAACAGTGTTGCCTTCAGCTAAGGAGTGCCAAGGGAATTTTCCATCCAAGTTTTATATCAGCTCTCCGTTGTTTTCTACGATTCGCAAGAAGGATGCAGAAACAAATCTCTCTGCAGGCAGTCAGGAAGAGGGATGTAGGGACAGTGGCAGAGAGCAAATGTCTGTGTCCTCACTGCTTTCAGCTCCCTTTAGTGACAGCTGTGAGGGGACAGAGAAGCAAAACTCCCATCAGTTGGTTGTGCAGCCGGAATCGCCTCTCCTCACTGGGCACACAGGTCCCGGGGCAGTGTCCCACCACATCAGGAGCACAGCACAGATAATTGCTCTTCTGAAGTCTAAACCAGCACAAGGACACAGAGAGCAAACATCTGGAGTCACAGGCTGCCTTTCCAGGTTTCAGGCAGCAGAAAATGCAGGTTTATGTGACAAAAAATGCCCTGTCCTACCTGGTTTTTCAGGCGAACCTGCCAAAGGACTCGTTCCAGATACTCAGCACCTGCCTTTTGTGCAGGGAACTGTAAATTATACAAAGGACTGGAATGCTCAAACACTTCCAAATTCAGCTGAACAATCTCGTGGTGAAGAAGTCACAGGACAGAGACAAGACAAAAAGGTAAATAATTTAAGTCAAGATTTACAAGATCACTGCAACACAAATACTTACTTTCTACCTGAGTCCACTGTAAGTAGAATGAGTGACAGTCAGTGTGGCCCATCCTCAGGTGACATTTCACCTTCAGCAAGTCCAACTACCTTTGAAAACAATCCTTTTGCATACAGAGAGCATTCAGGGACTGACAGTCTTAGGGAGGATTTCTCTGTGAAGATGCAGAGTGAGCTTCATCCAAGACAAAATTCAGAGGGAGTGTCTAGTGACCCAGAGCTCTCTTGGGATGTGACATTGACTGAAGCTGGAATTGTGAAGGAGGAGTTCAGTTTGCAGGGCACAGGATGTAGTCCTGATGGGGAACTGATGGAGGTTAACTTTAACCTAATGGAGACTTTTGATTTTAATGACATAGACAATGAAGAGGTGTGTGAGAGAGAAGGGAAAGAATTCTCTGAGGGAGACATGCCTTCATGGAGCCCAGGTAGCTTTCAGGGAGAAGATGTAGCACAAGGTGCTGCCTTGAGCCCTCATTTGAAGCCTCATTCTTGCTGTGAAGCAGAGACACACAGCAAAAATGAAGTGAAATGTTCAAAATCTGATGGAGAGGGGAGTACACCACCCCAGCTTTGTGACAATGATGCCAGGAGAACTGCAGAAGATGCTGCAAACCAGACCAGAACCAAAGTGGAACTTGTAGGTGATGGACATAACATAAAAGAGATCAGTGAGAGTCAATCAAGTTTTGAAGGCACAAACAAAGAGGAGGATCAGGATGGCTGTGCAGCACTCACCATTAATGGCACATGCTGGGTAAAAAACCATCACTCTGATCTCTTGCCTGGTCACACCAGTGCTCATGAATGTCACCCTGAAACCAGGCTGTTTGAGGCCACTGGAAGTCTTTCAGCTGTTTCTCCCAGCAGAATAATTTCTGCCTTGGACAAAAAGACCAAGGAAGGAGTTACAAAGCTTGGATGCATGGAATCCCCAGATATTGGCCCAGAGCACTTCTGGGCTTCTAAGAGTGATGACATGAAGCCAGACAGCCCTCTGCTGGCTTTGTCACAGAAATCAGATCCTTTAGGAACAGGTTTTTCATCTCCAGAGGAAACAGCAGTAGGAGGAACTGTGTTGGAAAATGCAGAGAGCATAACTGCTTCTCCTGAAGCTTGCCAAGGAGAAACAATGGGGGTGGATTGCCTGAAATGCACAGCAGTGGCTGAGAATTCCTCAGGACTCCTTGCTTTGATGAATGATATTGCTCTTCTGAGAGCTTTGACTCAGCATAGCACAGCATTAGAGAGCTTACAAAAGATGGAGGAAAATACCAGCATGTTCTGTGAAACAGACACTGAGGAGACACTTGAACCCCTTGAAAAGGATGAAGGTTAGGTCAGCTTCTATTTCAAACTGGATTCTGTATGTCTGTACCTGTTTGATTTCTCTCATTTCTCTCCTCATTTAGAAATACTTTTAGAGTGATGTGTTCTGTAGACTCCCTCATGCAATTTTTACTGTTTAAAGCAACATTGTGAGCTCCAAGTCTGTCTTTGTTTGCTCTCATTCAGTTAAGCGTGCAATTTGTTGGATGGGTAAGGTTTGCAAGACCTGTAAATATTCAGATGTTTTAATGTAAAAAAAACCCAGACAATTGACTGTAACTCACTGTGCTTTTCCATCTCTTGTAGCTATAAAAGAGTTTACAGAAATGCCTTACTCAGAAAGTTTACAGGCATCTTCCTGTTCATACTTTGATTCTCCTGGCCTTATGGTAACCCATTTTTGACTACATATATTTATCTGTACAAGATAAATTCATTTTCCACCTGGCTCCTGGAATAAAATTCTTGGTTTATGGAACCATAGAGGTTGAGATACAAATCACTTAGAGGTATTGTTTATGAAGCTGGTAATAAATAGAGGATGCCATACTGACAATATTCAGGAGGCCTCATGTATGACAAGAAACTTAATGAAAAGTGTAGTGTTTAGTAATGTTTAATATCCCATTAATATGTGTGGTACTTCTCCTTCCCTACCCCATCTTCTGCCACCTTTTTTTTTTTTAAGCAAATGTAGTTTCTTATCCTGTCATGGATGGTACTGGCTCCCAAATAAAAAAGCTGTAACTGAAAAGGCTTTCATTTGTATAAATACAAGACATTTCTTAGCCTAAATTTTCACTTTAAATGTTTATTAAATTGTTAGACTAACTAGGTTTTGATACTTTCCTGTGCAGTCCAACTGTGTGGACAATTTATTCCAGAAGACAGAGGCATATACTGTACCAATAGCAGCAGCCCAAAGGGACCCTGGGACATCTGACTGGCAACCAAAGGTACCATTTCTGTGAAACTCAAGTATAATTAACAGTTTTTTCTAAATTTCAGTTAAATTGTTTGCTGATTGTAATATATTTCACTAAGTCCTAATCCAATTTTAAGCTGTTCTCGTAATTTTTCATACAGTTCACTGCAGGAAGTTTTCCAGGAGAGTTTTAAATTCAAATTACAAGGAAAAAAAACGTCACATTTTCTTTGTTTCTCTTCTGCAGAGTCAACAGGTTATTTTTGTTGTATGTGTAAAAACTACCTGCATTGACTGTAGATAGTTGCAGAGCAGTTTTTACTTGCTGGTAGTGATAATTCCAATGCATTGTGCAGCCTGTTACCTTCCAAGGGTACCAAGTGAAAGGATCAGCAGCTAGTGAGGTCATGTTGAGAGCTCCATGCTCCCAGCTAGGATGGCAGCAGCTCCCAGAGAACATGGATTTTGCAGCTGAGACTTTTTTCTCACCCCTCTTTTCAAGGAATTATGACCCTTATGACTTCAGACAGGTAAAACGTTTTTTGTGTTCAGTTATCCATAGTAACCTTAGTGCAAGAAAGTGTCCTGTCAATTTAGGATAGGAAATAGTTCATTTTAAAACTGCTACAATCATATCAAAACCAATTCTTTTTACTTACCTTTGTCATAGAACTTCAAAATGTGTTACTTGTTTTCTTCTGCTCCTTTGATCAATTGCACTTGAAAAAGAGAAGATCAACAGTTTAATTTCTAACAAGTTTTCAGTTATGCTTTTGTTTTAAATAAAGTCGCCAAGTTCCAGGAGTCTTCATAAGGATGATGTTGATGTTATCAGAGAAGGGAATTTTCAAATGAAGCCTGATGTAATTGAAGAGCCAGGAATAAATCAGTCCTGTAAGTGAAAGTAAAAGGAGAAGGGCAGTGGTAGGCCTCAAAATTTCTGCATGACTTCAGCACTTCATGTGTTTTTTCCTAGCACTGGCATTGGATGTGCCACTGAAGACAATGTCACATCCACCCTCTGACCTGAGACAAGCACAGTGGACTGCCTGGGAACCTGGCAAGGTGGGGATTGACTGGCTCTTGCAGATACTTTTGGCTTTATTTCCTGTGTGTTTGTGGCAATTTCTTCTTTTTGAAGCTGTTTTATCTCAACTCTGAGAGACATTTAAATTGTTTAGAATGATGAGAGAGAGAACACTGAAAGAGCTGTAAGTAGGGTTTTTTTCCAGTCACTCACCTGCCATGTTAATTCTTCACCTGTAGATTTCATCAGTGCTGACTTCCCCACTTGATCCAGACTCTGCAATTTCTCCACCTTGGGGAAGTGAAGAGACTGTTGGAGACATCCAGGAGCCCCTGACACGTGGGATCTTACCAAGTGAACCAGAACTTCCAGATTTCTTGTTGAGTAAGAATTTACGGATTTATACTGGCACCTCATCTCTGAGGGTGCTCGAAGCACAATGAATTGGGATATCATAGACAGTTGCTCTGCCAGTTATATTCTCCTGAAACAGACTAGTTAATTCTCCTGAAACAGAGTAGAGGGATTTAAATAAAGAAAAATCAGCTTCTAGTTTGGGGGCAAAAAGGCTGTAAGCTAAACTTCTAAGCGATACTTATGTTTTTATTTACCTGCTTTAAGTTTTCTTCCATATTCAGCTGTCCTCTGACCCTCTCCCATTTGACATCTCTCTGTAACTGTTACTAATGATAATTAATTTAGCTAAAAGGATGCTTTTTGGTAGTAAGAGCTTATTTATCTGCCTTTTTAAATATTAATTCATAGGTTTGTGGTTTATCTTTTGGAAAAAGAGCAGCAAATGTTAAACTGGGTGTTTTCTAGTTGGAAGCTGACAGTGACATCAGATTAATGACCTCCAAAATATAACCATGTTTAAATAATGGTCTTTTATACAAGCAGAGAGGCTTCATAATGTGTTCTGAATATGGAGAGTTCAAACAAATTTTTAAAATTTTAATTTCAAATAATTTTTTTAAAAATTAAAAGAATCACACAAAATCCATGACTTAATATAATACTGCACAGGAACATTCCAGAGAGCTTCCCAGTTAGAAAACAAGGTGTAAAAGGAAGAATTTAGAGTTTCTTCCTTTTGGCACATCTGAAGCGCCATCCCTAGGTGCTCCAGGTTGTCTGTAAGTTGTATTTGCCCCACAGCCCGGGAGAAATCCAGCTGTCCACGGGAATGCAGCCTCCCAGCGTTCACGCCCACGATGAAAACACAGACTCCATTTGTCACTCGGACTCCCTTTGTCACTCTTCCTACCACCCATGAGATTCCTGACACCTTTTACCCCACTGAGAGCCAGGAGGTGCAACAGTCTTTGGGCTCTTCTGGGGGAAATTTGTGGAGCGAGTCAGTGGCATTTCCTAGGAGTGCTCCCAGCCCCCAGGACAGGAATTATGAAACCTCCGTGTTTGGGGAGAACACGGAAGATGGACAAAGGGGATCTGTGCCACCAGCGCTCCCTAATGTGACTGCCCAACCCAGACAAAGCAAGTGGCTGAAGTATCAAAGCAGTGCTCAGAGTGATTTGATCCCTGAAAACAGCGCTGAAGGGGAAGAGAACGATGACATCTGTACCCGGAGTGTCCTTGGAATGCTGCCGGGTGACACAGGAGAGGGCAGCACCGTGAATGCAAGTGCTCCCAGCTCTGCACTGCTGCTGCCAGCCAGGAGCTCGCCTGGGGAACGCTCCGAGGCTGCAAAGAGCAGCCAGGCAGATACAGTTTCAGAGGGGAAGGTGCTTTCCTTGCACTTAGGGCAGACACCTCTGGCTGCGGCCACACAAAAGGTGTTGAGTCACCTGAGCTGCCCCGCCGGAACAGGAGACTGCCAGGTGTGTGTGTAACTGTTCAGGCAAACACTGCCACTAACTCACTGCTCTGGCCAAAGGGGCTGCATTTATCTAATTTCCTGCAGATATTATCACTGTGATTGGATTAAATGTTTCTACCTACTAGTGACACCAAGAATGTATTTTTTCAAGTGCCATGACTAATCCTTTGTAAAGGTAATTCCTTGGCAAACACAGTGCTAGATTTAGATTTTTAATCTGAATGTTGATGGCAGGAAGATGAAAGAAAAGCTGCTGGGCTGTTTTGACATCTGTAATTGGTAAGAAATTGTATGCACCAATTTTCTTAATTGTGGTATCAGCATAATTTTAATCAACATGCATTTTTGCTTCAAGGCACAGTTTCTTGACTTCAAAATACTATAAATTGCTTCAGTTCTAGTTGTGTAAAAGGCAAGTTATGGCCCTGAATAAGCCTAAATCTAAAAATTTAGCACAGGTGTTTGTGATCACTAGGCCGATGGAGTAAATTGGGGGGAAGCACCAAACCAACCACAAGCTAGGTTTTTAAAACTGTCAAATGGTTTTGAGAGTTGAAGGAAATGTTAACTCATTGGGGTTCTTTTTAAGTTTTTTGGTTCTTTAAAACGGTCCAGTACAGTATTTGTGTGAAACAGAGGTGAGGAAATAAGTAATATATATCATACATACTTTGATAAACATATTGTGTGCATTTTCATACAAATACATATTATATATATGTAAAATCCATGTATACAAGTCTTAAAAAGCCTATCAAGACAGTTATAATTAATTTATTTCTGTGCAAAAATGGTGTTTAAAATGGGGTTTGTGTGCTCCTTCCCCACGCCTGGTGAAAACATGATTTTGAACTATATAATTTACTCTAAAGCCTTTAGAAGTATGTTATTATAAACGCAGGCTGTTTGGCAAGGAGTTTAACCTCATGGTGCATCCTAACTGGCAGCCCAAGCTCTAGGGAAATGTATTTTCACACATCTGCAAAATTAGTCTCATTCAAAGTCCTACAGTTTTTAATGGTTGATTTTCCTGGGTCTTTTTAGGACATAACAATTTCTGAGTTGTCTTTTCCTCCTGTGGATAAAGTGAAACATGCCAATCTTCCTAAAAGAAAGATTTCCATCCCAGCTGTGTTTCAGTCTCATATTCACTACAAGCAGGTTTTTAAAGCTGCTCTGACAGGTAAATCTCTGCTCTGTGAAATGCTGTCAATTTAAACATTGCCTATTAAAACAACAGGGTGCATTTCATTTTTTTATATATCTACTGAAGAAATATATTCAGTCTATACCCAAAATTGCAAAGACAAACCAAAAAGACAGTACACTTCTGTTCAACTGTGTAACTGTTCAAGTCAGGGCTGTTTCCAGTCTTAAGATACCAAAGCCTTTTTTTTTTTCCCTGGAATAAGTGGATTTTTCAGGTCACATGGTTTCTTTTAGCACTCAGATTAAAGATTTTTATTTGGGATGGAAATCTTCCAATGGAAATAGATTTGTTTTCATGTTGTGTAGCTATGTAAGCATTTCAAGGGTGTGCTAATGATTCTGTTCTCCTTTCCCCACCAAGAGCAATTGAACATAATGCTGTTTGAGTTGGCACAGAGACTGCACAATGCCCTCTCCAAAGTGGATATATCATTTTACACTGCAGTAAAAGATGGGCAAAGCCAGAGCCAGGGAAGCTGTGCTCCACTCTGCAATCACATGCACCCTGCTAAGCTGGTGATGGTTAAAAAAGAAGGTCAAAACAAGGTGCTCTTTATTCCTTGTGGTTTTACACTTTTGGGGTGAAAGCATCCATTGCTTTCTCTTTTTTTCTTGCTTGTTTTAGAGCTCATGCACTTCTTTTTCCTTCCTTTCCATTGCAGGGCCGTTTGTTCTATGCCTGTGATGCCCCAAAAGCTGAGCAGTGCTCCTTTTTTAAGTGGATTGAAGATGTGAACCCCACACCGACAAAATCCAGACCCAGTGCAGTGCTGCACGACACAAAAAGTATTGGGACTTACCTCAGGAGTCAAAAGATTGCTGTCTATGAGGAATGCCAGCTTTTGGTGAGGTATCCTGAAATTGAATTGTGAATTCAAGGTTTATAAATACTCCAGTCGCTCAGGCTTTCAGCAGGATTTAACACATTTTCTCTACATTTAAAGAGTAAATGTTTCTGTAAAGAAATGCAAGAGCTAAATTAGTGAAGGAAAAATATTTATAGCTATGGTATTTCTTTTTAGCAAGAATCAAAACTGCTGACCAGCAACTTGATCAATTGCTTAATGTCAGAACTGTTGCATTTGAATTATTGTTCATTTAATCTTCAGTAGGAGAATTTGATTTATTCTCTTCAAGATTCTTATTTTAATGCCAGAAGTTATCTCAAGGCTATTCTGTGCTGTTTAACTGTACGGGAAACAACTGAGGCTGAATATGAGGGAATTTTGCAGTCAAGATAAATCTATTTAAAATTTGTTAATATCAGATGATGTACACCCACTTGGTTCAGTCTATGGAGGTTTCTTATTTTTGGTGCTGAATCCAAAATGTGCCAATGGTTTACATTTTTTTTAAATTATTATTTCCCAGGAAAGCCTTTGAAATTCCAGCACAGCGGTACAGTAAGTTCAAGAAATTTATGAATACACCTGCCAGCTTTGATGGTGACACCAAACCCAAACTGTACCTGAAACTAAGCAGAAAGGAGCATTCTTCTCTCTACAGCAAAGGTGAGCACATCTTACACATCAGATTTAGAAGGCGGCAGTGGGAGAAGCTTATGAGGACTCTATTTTTTTTGGCAGATGACATCTGGGTTGTTTCCAAGACTCTGAACTTTGATCCCATCGATACTTTCATCGCAAGCAGTGCTTTCTTTGGACCATCCTCCAACAATGAAATAGAACTGCTACCACTGAAAGGCTACAGTCCCTCCAACTGGAGATCCAGCAGTGAGTTTCACAGCAGCATTCAGAACTGTGGGAAACAGCTAAGGAAAAATCCAGCCACCAATGAAGGATGAGTTTGGAATTTCTCAGACCTTGCACATGATTTAGTTCACAGTACTTTTTTTCCTTGTGTGTTGGAATATATAATTTGAATATGGTAATTAACGCAATTAAACCTGCAAAGTCACTGGCAAATTCCAAATGGGTGGGGAAGAAATGAGAATAATATGAAGAAAGTAGTAAATTATGTAATATGGTATACAATGCAAGTTGATTGTCAGAGTGTAAGAAAAGGAATATATTTTTACTGTCCTTGAAAAACAAAATGCAGAAACCTCAAAGTCTGTGATTCCGCAAAAGTTTCTTGGTTTTGCTGTTGAATTAAGTTGAAGCTTTGCAGTTGTTTTGATTTGTAAATGAAGAAGATAAAATCAGTTAATTACTCTTTTGCCATTTTATATTGCATTTCTTTAGCTGATTTGAAATTTCTACTCTATTAATTTCTTTCTCCTTTTCTTTTTCTGTGGCCCTTCTAGTGTGTGTTCACGCCTTGCTGGTTTGTAATGCCAGTGGTGAGCTGGCATCCTTAAGGAACATGGAAGAGCACTTCAATCCATCCACATTACCACTGATCCCATATCTCCTGAAAATGTGAGTTACTGTCCTGTGATACCGTGGTCAGTCCAGTCAGGAATATCAGAACCAGGAGATACTCTATCATATCACAACTTTTGGCTATTTTTTGTTTCTTTAGGAATGTTAATTCTGAAAATACTACAAAAAGAGTCAACAAAAGGAAATTTACTCCACCTGCCATGAGCCTGAAATGCTCAATGATGTCTGGCCCTGTGAGCTCTGAAGTGGCAATGGGAGTGGCTGAAGAGATGATCCAAAGGTTCTCCCTGAACCCAGACCAAGCAGCATCACTGATTCACGTAGCTCAGATGATGGGCTGTGAAAACCCCAAACCAGGGGAGGAACATCAGAGCTGCCCCATCACAATCATACGTGGTACTCTGCCAAGAATTGTGACATTTGCTGCTATTCTGTCTTTGTACAAATGTTGGTTAATGGGATATGCCATTAATATGAAATGGCAGAATCAACCCCTCTGATAATGTCTGTGACATTAAAACATCCATTCTGTCAGCATAGAGCTTTTGCCCCTTTAAATTGAAATTAAATTTGAATTAAATTTTCATTCTGCCTTTTACAGGATTTCACTGAAGCATAGGAGGTTTTGCCTAGAAATACCTATACACAAAGTTGGAGTTATTTAGTGTCTTCCGCTTTTTTCTTTTCATATTAAAACCACTTTTTATCTTGTATTAGCTTTGTTTTTCTAAGTGTAAGCAAGCCCATGCAATTTTTTTTAGAGGAGTCACACAGTATAACTGAAGTTAAAGCAACTGATTCAGACTTTCTAGGAAAGTCTCACTTATAACTTGGGCTTTTTCTTCCAAAATACCAGGTGTTTTTGGAGCTGGCAAGAGCTACTTGCTGTCTGTGGTGATCTTGTTCCTCGTGAAGCTCTTTGAAAGCAGTGAAGCTATGGAGGGTCCAAGGGCAACTCCGTGGAAACTCCTCATTGCTTCTTCCACCAACGTTGCTGTGGACAGGATACTTCTGGGGTGGGTTGCTGAGGCATTTATGGACTCTTCTTCCAAAACCAATAATGCACTTATGTTGTGGTGGTAATTGTGTTGGTATTTTCTGTAAAACACGTCAAAAAGATTGATTTATTTTCCTAAAAAGTGCCACACCACAGGCTTTGATTTTACTTCAGGCCTTTTGCACAGTTAAAAGAGTGAAAGCTACATAAAACATTTGCAGAAAACTACTTTAGGCCCTGCTCTCATCAAATATACTATTAAAATCCATCATGACCAAGTAGTACTGCTCAGGAATCTTTGGAATGTAGCAGGAGGGGAAGGAGGAGCAGAGAGAATCAGATTTGTGAAAATTTAGCATGAAATAAATGCATGGTTTGGAAGGAAAAAGGAAGGAAAGATACATATGGAAGACTATGAGGGTAATCATCAAGGCATTAAGCATTTTTGAGGCAAATCATGATGAGGAAATTTATTTTGATTTTGTTGAATTACTGAGGTACTGCATTTTTTTAATCACACAAGTTTGTATTCCTCAGTGTTCTGCTGTGTCTTCTGAAACCACTTTTTAAGTTTTCAGTATTTCTTTTTTCCATTTCTGTATTGTTTATAATCTCTTTTTTTTTTTCAAGTCTGCTTGATCTTGGATTTGAGGATTTTATAAGAGTGGGAAGTATAAGGAAAATCACGAAAGCAATTCTTCCCCATAGGTAAGAAACCTCTTTGAGGGATCTGAAGCAATTTGGGGTAGGTTAATACATTGTTGTAAATTACTGTTATTTATAAAGTATAGTTATTTTCCCAAGCACTGCTATTTTCAGTTACTGTAATGTATGTTACAAAATCTTTGAAGTTTACATGCAGGCTCAGGAAATGAAAATGAGCAGCTGAAAGAGCTGCTTGCTCTCCTGAAAGAAGATTTGACTCCAGCTGAGAAACTGTATGTCAGGAAGAGCATTGAGCAGCATAAACTGGGGACCAATAAAACTATTCTGCAGCAGGTACAGTCAAAGAGATGGGATGGGAAAGCATGGATTTGCTGTGTCTCATCCACAGGGCCCAGCAAATGGGAAGTGGGAATCCCCTCTCACACCTGCCAAGCTCCTGGTTTTAAAATATAAAGTGAATGTTAGGTTTGATTGCACAGGTATAGCTTAGTGTCCTGTTTCTAAAAATAAATTTATGTGTATTCTCCTGCTATAGTTAGGTGTTGCACAGAGATGAACAATGAAATGACCTTAACTTTTTGCCTGCCCGTTTTCTCCTCGCTGCTGGAAGGTGAAAGTGGTCGGAGTGACGTGTGCTGCCTGCCCCTTCCCTTGCCTGAATGCGCTCAGGTTTCCTGTGGTGATGCTGGATGAGTGCAGCCAGATGACTGAACCTGCTTCTCTCCTGCCCATCGCCAGGTACAGCCTTCCTGAGGGGCCTCAGCAGGGACACCAGCTCCAGCAGTGCCACACTCCACACCTCTGTGAGCACATGAACCCCGAGGCCTTGCCTTAGTGAGCAAGAAGAGGGGTTTTAAATTGAGGCCTGTCCTAGGGTATTATTAAACTGGGGTGGAGAAGGGAGGCTGATGGAAAGCAATGATACAGAAACACAGCTTTGGTTGTGAACACTTTAACATGCTTTTTAGAACACTGTTTTTTTCCACATTCTTTTTTAGGTTTCAGTGTGAAAAGCTTGTCCTTGTTGGAGACCCCAGGCAACTGCCACCAACTATTCAAGGGTCTGAGAGTGTTCATGGGCAGGGATTGGAGCAGACTCTCTTTGACCGGCTCTGCTTAATGGTAGGTGCTGCTGAACACACGTTTGGAAAAGGTGGAGAGTGGAATTGCTAGTCCCCTGAAGTCACTAGGGGAATTCTGGTTCAGGTGTGAGAGGATCAGGGTTTCAGCATTGCAAAAGACCATAAAATCACAGAATGGTTTGGGTTGGAAGGGACCTCCAAGGTCACCTAATCCAACCCCCCACCACAGACATGGACACCTTCCCACTAGACCAGGTTGTTCTGAGCTCCCTCTTCATGAGCTCTTCCCAGCCCTCATCTCTCTGTCCTCATTCTTTAGGGACATGTCCCCATTCTTCTCCGGACACAGTACCGCTGTCACCCTGCCCTCAGTGCCATCGCCAACGAGCTCTTCTACGATGGGAACCTCATTGATGGCATTTCTGAGGAGGACAGGGCTCCTTTATTGGAATGGCTCCCAACACTCTGCTTTTACAGTGTTCATGGCATGGAGCAAGTGAGTTCCTCAACACTTCTTATATAACAAGTCAATATTGTTGGTTTTCCTCCATTCCTTTTTGTGTTGCTGGTGAGAGCTAATTTGGGAATCTTTTTCCCTCTTCCCAGGTTGAAAGAGACAACAGCTTTTATAACATGGCAGAAGCTCATTTTATAGTCAAGCTCATCCAGTCTCTGATTGCAAGTGGAATAGAAGGAGCTGATATTGGCGTGATTACCCTTTATAAATCACAAATGTATAAGGTTTGTATCACAAATCAGTAACAAAAATCAATAAAGCCATTTTCTTAAATGTACGCTGAGTAGCCCAACTCATCCCCCTTCTCTATTTCTTTGCCCCCAGATCCAGAATTTGCTCAGTGGGGTTCACTCCGAGGCTTTTGAAGTCAAGCCTGTCCAGGTGTCCACGGTGGATGCGTTTCAAGGCGCTGAGAGGGAAATCATCGTGCTGTCCTGTGTCAGGACAAGGCACTTGGGGTTTATAGACTCGGAGAAGAGGATGAACGTGGCACTAACGAGGGCCAAGAGGCACCTGCTGATTGTGGGAAGTCTGCCCTGTCTGAGCAGGAACAGGCTGTGGGGAAGAGTAATTCACCACTGCAGAGGTAAGAGTTTCTTTGCTGGGGTTTTTGAAACCTTGCACCTCATTATCTTTAATTAGACTATATATAATACACCGTATAGTGTTTATATGCTGTATAATAACATATAAAATATATGGTATATATTAATATTATATTCATTACATATAAACTCCAATCTAATATATTGCAAGAATGTGCAAGTTGCACATTAGCAGTTTTACCTGCAAACTCTTTTTATGTTCAAAGGGGTTTTTTGAATCTAGTAATGGAACTTTACCTGCTTGGCCGACATCCAAAAAAGCATCTTGTTGGTGACAGAACTCCACAGAGCCATTTTCCAAGCAGAACTATCACAGCCAGTCAATACTCTTGGGGAAATAGTAGATGTTGACATTGCCAGGGGCTGGTTCCATGATGGGTGCTGTAGAGAGAGATGTAATTATCCTGTTTATTGCTGCTTTTAGGATGGGAAAATGGCTTTCAACATGCAAGCCAGTGTGAGCAGCAGCTGAATGATATTCTCAAGTCTTACTTGGAGAACTGGGAGGAAGAACAGCGTAAGAAAAAGGACAAGTAAAATATGTATTGATTTTGTGAACAGAATATTAACTGCTTGTGTATAGCAATAGCTCTGGTAATTTGTAATCTAGTATTTATTTAATGTGTGGGGTATTTTTGTTTGGACCTCAGTGCACTGATACTTCTGTTTGACCTTGTGGTCCTAAGACTAAAAATTATTAAAGTGACTTTATTTGGTTGATAACTGTAAATAGAGTGACTTTTTCTGCTTGAGCAGTGATATCCTTTTATGCTTACAGTGTAGGTAATGATACTGGTGGTATTTCATTGTTCTTCAGATTAAAACACCGTGGTATTTTAGAACAATCCTGTCACCTTCCATATTTACAGGAAGGTCACATGCAGGAAGGAGCTTGGCTGTAACAATTAAAAGGCCCCTTCCACAGCTTTTGAGAAAACCTTAAGCACCATCCAGGGTCTGTGAGGGCTCCAAGAGCGCTGGAGAGACACTTGTCACAAGGGCATGGAGTGACAGGACAAGGGGGAATGTCTTCAGATGCCAGAGGATGGGTTTAGCTGGGATATTAGGGAGAAATTCTTCCATCGTGGGAGTACCAGTGAGGCACTGGCACAGGTATGCGCCATGCCTGTACGTGTTCAAGGCTCGGCTGGACGGTGCTTGTGAGCAGTGCTGCAGTGCTATCCGTTCTGACGGGTGTCCGACCCGCCGGGAATTCCCGGTCTGCTTCCCGGTTTTCCCGGCCCCGGCTGCCCCAAGCCTGCCGCGGGCTCGGCCGCCGCCAGGGGGCGCCGCGGGCGCGGCGGAGGGAGCCGCCGGGGCGGTGACGCGCCCCTGCCGCCCGCCCGCCCGCCGCCGCGGCCGCAGCACCGCTCCGCCCTGAGGGGCAGCGCCGGCTCCTTCCGCCGGGGGAGGGCTGAATGGCGCTTTTAAATTACTGCTGACACCTCTGTCCCGGCTCCCTAAAATCTCAATCAACAAGCCATTAGAACTCAACGGGAGTAAAACTAAATCCTCGTTTAAGTGTATTTATCCGCTCTCTTTTCTCTCTTTCAAATGCTAAATCCATTTCAGCATATGCCCCTTCTTTCTCTCGCCTTTCTCTAAAGACTGGCAGCCCGCACTACTCTTGTAAATATGAAAGATGCTAATCATATGACATATCACGTCTCAGTCGGAGCCTGGAATAAAGCCTTGAGATTTGGGATCATTGCCTCCAGACAACAGCTTCATCAGCCGGAAAGTTGGGTTTTTTTCTCCTTTCCTTCAACTCTCAATCCCTTCTTTGTCTGAGGGAAAATGCAGCCAACTCGAGCCACCCCGGCCATATGGTTCACTCTGTGTTTTCTTAGTTGAATCCTGAATTGTTTGTGACTTGCGAAGGGGTTTTTTTTTTGGGTTTTTTTTTTTTTGGAAGTGTGTATAAAGACATAGAAGAGGCTGCCCACACCAGGGCAGCTCTGCAGGATAATTCCATGTTCTTCACGTGTTCGCTTTCAGCCACCTCACCACACAGACAAAAAAACTATAAACCTGCAGATGTGCTTTATACCAATAACCTGTTACAGGTATCTGGTATTCTTCCCCTTCTGGGTAAAATATCCAGGTGTTTTCCCTTTTCTGGATGGAAATTCCTTCTTGAAGCACCATTTGTGTCTTTACTCAGCTCCATAAAATAGTTATTGCTCACTGGCAAATCCCTTCTAGAAATGCCTTGACTAAGAGAAGCCTCTGAGTGTTTTGAGTAAGAAAAAGTGGCTTTTTAGACCTGGATAAATTAGGAGCCGAGTGAATTCGGCACACCCGAGTTTGGCTATGCCCCTGCCAAATTTTATTTCTTTCCTTACACAAACCCCCTTGGCCCCCCCAAAAGGCCCTTTCACCAAACCATTAAATTCTACAGAGGTGGTCAAGCTAGTCCTGCTTTTCAGGCGTTCGAGAAAGAAAAGGGTCCTTGAAGTTTAGAAGATGCCCAAGGAAAACTCATTGAATGACATCAAAAGAATGAGTTTCCATAGCTGTTGAAGCACGAGAGCCGTGTAGCTGCACAAAGGCGGGTTGGGGCAGTGGGACTGTCCCACTGCTCTATCCCAGCACAATTGGGTCACTGAAATAGGGAATTAATTACCATTGGAGAGTGGGCAGCCCATTCACCACTGGCTGAGTTTTATTAAACGCCAATATAAATAACAAAACAACTCTTGTGGCTGCACTATTCCTACACGCCAAAGGAAGGATTATGTTGGGGATTAACATCTTAAAGTCTATGAGACTTTCTGACTCAAGGCTCGGAGCTGGTAATCGTATTTGTCTCCTGGTTCAGCGATTAGTGCTCTCCCTCGCGCACCTTCGCCTGGATGGCCAATGTCCCTTTTTGCAGGCACTGGGTTTTTCACACAATCGGCTGTTCTTTTCCCCACATCTATAGAAAAGAATAAGAAAACTGAAGCGTGTTCACGCGATCCTCAAGCTTCTTCTCTTCTTCATGGGAAAGGAAGGCACCGGCAGCCTTTTTTCACAAGGGGGGCGAGGCAAACCCTCTTGGTGGGGCGGGGGGCCAGGACTGCAAAATCGCTCCGCAGGCCTGCACCTGCCATGCAAATCCGCCGGGAACAATCGGCCCCCGACGAGGGCCGGCCTTGGGGGGAGCCAGGGAAGGATGCCGGGACAGTGCTCATGGGGGGACCCCTTGCCTTGATCCCAGAACAAACCCCAAATGTGCTAATACAGCTTGGGAGCTGGGGGGCTGCTCCTCATCTTGTCCCTGGCTGTGGCACTTGCACGGGGTGTTCGGGGAAGATCCGGATCAGGATGTGGGGGATACACCCCCCAGCACTTTTGATCGCTTCCCCCTGCAGAGCAGCCCAGTTCTCTGCTGTGTGGGGACATATTCTCACACCCCATTAAAGAGCAGAAACACCCCACTCTCAGGGTTTGTAGGTGCTGCCCAGGTCTGCACACCACAAGGATTCAGGGCACCCTGGTGTGTATGGGCAGCCCTGGGACCCCAAACCCTCAGGACACTGCAGGATATGAGGGAGGCAGAGCTGGGAGGGGTCAGGCCACCCTGTCCCCACAGCTTTGTCCCCACATTTCCCGGGATGTCGTGCCCCTGTTCACCTGAGGCAGGCTGACCATTAACGCCGGCTCTCAACTTGTGAGGTCGAAGTGTGGATGGGCTGTGCCCAAAGGTCTCTCAGCAACACAGACCCTAAACTTTTAGGGCTATCGGGTCACCTCAGAGTTCAATCTTCTTACAGCAAACAAAGCCCTTCTGACGGTCTCCCCCTCTCCCCCACACGAGCTCAGCGTCCTTTATTTCTGGGCTGTGTGATAAGCTTAAATCATTGTGCTCCCATTTCTTGATCGTTGCCTACTTTGGGCTTTTGTTCCCCTAAAGTAGGATTGAGTCTGGCAAAGGGGCTGAAGTTGAACAGTTTGACCCTTGGAGGACAGTTCAGGCGGTGGGCAGTGGCAGCAGCATTCCTGCTCCTGATCCCACTCCCTCTCCCCCCCCCCGCCACCTCCTCTCCCCACCGCTCTCGGCCGAGCAGCTCGGCCCTCGCTCTGCCCACAGACCACACAAGCGCCTATCGAGAGCAGTGAGGATTTGGTAACTCACCCGTCCTTGGTCACCTCGTGCTCAACCCCAAGGGAAAAAACGCTGCATGGCAGCAGGAATGGGACTGAACCCCAGAAAGGGACCACAAAGGGTGCCTCACCTCTCTGGTGCTTTGCATCAGCAATGGAAGCACAGAGATATCTGCAAGCAGGGTGGTGACAGAAGGATGGGCTGGCCCTGTCACAAGTGTACTCTGCTTTGTCCCTTAAGGTGCTGAAAAAGAAGTAAGGTCCTTTTGCATCCCTCTCCTCGGATGCGAGGGGAGCTGCGAGCCTCCCGTTTTGCACAAGGAGGCAAGGGAGTGTTAGAATGTTTCACAGACTCACGGAGATACTGAGGCACTCGCCTGGCCTCAGCCTCTCCCAAAGACCAATACACCCAGAATGAAGGACTTCTTTGGTGTGAGTTCCTGCTGTGCTGAGCACGGCTTCTGCAGAGGTTTCAGCTCTTTCATAAATGTTGAGCTTTTCTAGCAGTTGCAAACAAAATTGTGTTTCAAAGCCCAACTCCCCCAAAGTGCCTTGCTGACGGTGTTTCCATACGGAGCAGAGAGTGTTCTGGGGTTTCGGTTTTGTATGTCCTCACTGTCATTCCTTTGACAAGGGGTTGGAGTGACAGGCAAGAGGGAACAGCTTCACACTGACAGAGGGCAGGATTAGATGGGATATTGGGAAGAAATTCTTCCCTGGGAGGGTGGGCAGACCCTGGCACAGATTGCCCAGAGAAGCTGTGGATGCTCCATCCCTGGAAGGTTCCAAGGCCAGGCTGGACAGAGCTTGGAGCAACCTGGGATAGTGGAAGGTGTCCCCAGGGGGTCTGTGGAGCAACGCCAGCCTGCCGACTCTACGGGCATGGCACTAGGCTCTGCCATTGAGGGAGGGCTGGAAGGGAAGAGGGGTAAAGGGAATGAAGGTTTTCCTAGTGCAAGTTGGCGTTTAGGGGTTTTTTTTAATAAGATCTCCTCCAGCCTCTGAATTATATTTGACGGCACTAAGCTGCTCGGAGCGCAGGGCGTTCCCCCACATCGGGCTCACCGCATGCCCGGAGCATCTCCCCAGCAAGCCACGTACGGAAGGAACTACGCACCTTTACCAGAGCACCAAGTGTCCCCAGAAGGCGAAACCCTCCCGGGAATGAGAGGGCTTGGAAGGGGAGCCGCCCTCCATCCCTCCCTGCCGGGGCGGTGAGGGAGAGCGGCTGAAAGGGAGCCGGCCCCGGGCGCGCGCGTGGCGCGCGGGGCGCGGGGATTGGCCGGCGCTGCGCCTCGCGCCCCCCCCCGCGCCGTCCCCATTCATTAATAAATTAGCGGCACGCTCCAGCCGAGCGCGAGGCGCCAATGGGGCCCCGCCGGGGCGGGGGCGGCGGCGGCGCCCCCGACAAGAGTCGCGGGCGGGGCGGGCAGGGCGAGGGGGACCCCGGGGGTAGGTTTGATTGTTCCCCGCGGGGTATATAAGGGGTGTTAAGGAGGGTCGTGTGCCAGACACGCAGCCTGACCGGGCCCCGGGCGCCGCTCCCGCCGCCGCCGCCCGCCCGCCCGCCCGCCGCCCCCGGGGCGCGTGCCAGCGCCGCGCCCCCGCCGCGCCCCCCCCCGCGCTTTGCCCCCCCCACCCCCGCCCCTCAGGACCCCCGCCCCGCTCCGCTCCGCTGCCGCCCGCTCCGTCAAGCCGGCGAACCGTCATACCGCCGGAGAGGCGAGGAGAGCGCGCCCGCTGCTTCCCGGTGCTGCCCGGTGCGGCCCCGTCCAGCCGCCGCGCAAGGATGCTGGTGAAGGCGGAGGTCCTGGCGACGCCCGCCGAGGACGAGCTGCTGCTGCTGGGGCTGGGCTCGCCCGCCCCCTCGCCCTCGCTGCCGTCCAGCGCCGAGGAGGAGGAGGAAGAGGAGGAGGAGGAGGAGGAGGAGCTGCGCGCCGCCCCGCCGGCTCGGCCCGTCGAGGCTCCGGGCGGCCGCGGGCTGCGGCGGGCGGAGGGGAAGCGGCGGCCGGGGCGGTCCCGCGGCGCCCCGCGGGCGGCGCGCACGGCGGAGACGGCGCAGCGCATCAAGCGGAGCCGGCGGCTCAAGGCCAACAACCGCGAGCGCAACCGCATGCACAACCTGAACGCGGCGCTGGACGCCCTCCGCGACGTGCTGCCCACCTTCCCCGAGGACGCCAAGCTCACCAAGATCGAGACGCTCCGCTTCGCCCACAACTACATCTGGGCGCTCACCGAGACCCTGCGGCTGGCCGGGGCGGCGCGGCTCGGCCCCGACGGGGCGGCGGCGGCGGCGGTCCCCGCCGAGGGCAGCCCCTCGCCCGCCTCCTCCTGGAGCGGCGGCGCCGCCAGCCCCGCGCCCTCCGCCTCCCCGTACGCCTGCACTTTATCGCCCGCCAGCCCCGCGGGCTCCGCCTCGGATCCCGAGCACTGGCCCGGCCGCTTCGCCCCGGGGCCGCCGCCGCCGCTGCCCCGCCGCTGCCTCTAGCCCGGCCCGGCGCTCCCGGGGCTGCCCCCGGGGCGGCGGCTGCGGCATCTGCCCGCTTCCCAGGGCAGGGCGGGCTGTGGGAACGGCACCTGCCAAACCAAACTTTCCGTCTCTCTCTCTCTCTTACTCTCTCTCTCTCTCGCCGATGTGCACTTTGTCCAGTTTTCCCAGATCTGTCACCGCGGGGCTTTTGTGTGTGTGTCCCCCCCTTTCTCCGCTCCCCTCTTTGCCATCTGTCCCTTATGATTTATAGGCGGGAGGGGGGTGCAAAGCGAGGGAAAAAAAAAAAAAGTAAATTGTTTTGTTAGGGGTCCAGGTTAGAAGTCATTGTATAATTTGTAGGCTTTGTGAGGGCTGAATGCAAGCGTGGAAATTTAGGCTGAACTCTCTATCAAAAGGGAAAAAAAATCGGGAGGGGGGGAATGGGGAAGGATCTCCTCATACATTATTTATTTCGACCTTTAGGGGACAAGGAACTCCCCCCTTCTTTCAGGAGATTAAAAATAAATCAACAGACTGAAAACCTCAACAGACACGGAACATTACAGCAATCAGCCACACACGTGTTCACATTTATTTATTATAAAGACAGATTTCATGGAAAATATGTATTTTTTGTATAATTTACAGAGTTTATTCTAGTATGTATTTACAGCTGAAGAGCAAAGGGATTGTCCTTGTGATAAAATATAAATAAAAAGCTCTAATTTTCGTAACTTCGGGGTTGCTGCTTTTTCTGCTTTATGTGCCAGTGACTGGGAATTAGGGGATTGGGCCTGTCCTTGTCTCTGGTGAAACCAAGGTCCTGTGGGGCCCGATGTCACTGGGTCCATGGGCAACTGTTTCTTTGGGAACCAGCATTAGAGAGAGAGAGGGGGAAGTTCAGTGGAAGTTTACTGATCATTTACCTTTGGCTCTCAGTACAGAAGATGCTGACAGCAAATGCGGGATGGATGGATAAAGAATTATCCCACTTCAGGCCGATGGATTTTGCCAAGAAGACCTTAGGAAATAAATGCTGCCGAGCTAAAAATCCATGGGTTAAAAGAGGAAGAATTTCCTCTCTGTGAGGGTCAGATGAATTCTGGGTCGCAGGCAATTTCAGGGGGTTCGGTTCAGCGTGCACAGCACACAGCCGGGGATGTCACCACGGAAGGAGATGCTGGAGGCCGCCCAGGCCCTTCAGTCATCATCCCCGTGCTCCCGGGAGCACTTTGTGACTTCTGGGTACAAACACTTGGAAATCATTAAAAACCAGCAGAGGCGCCTGAGTGTATTAATTAAATAAAATGCTCAGCACGCCAATCCCGCCCGGTGCCCTCCGGATCCTGGGAGCGTGAAACCTCGGAGCAACGTCCACGAAAGGAAGGGGGAAGAAAAAAAGGGGAAAAAAAAAAAAAAAAAAAAAGCCCAAAATGTGTGAAAAGAGAATTAGTGAAATTAGGTTAGGCCAATAAACTGCGCGGGGGTCCATCCCCCCCGGCCCCACAGCCTCGGGCGAGCAGTGCTATCTAGCCTGATCTATTGTCTCCCCCCCTGGCAGGGGGGTTATTGTGTGATAAATAATTCCCTAAAAAAAAAAAAAAAAAAAAAAAAAAAGTGGGATAATTTGCATAATCACTGCTTTGATGTGGCCAGCAAGATGAAGCTGTGTTCCCCCAAATCTGCCACGGGCCAGGAGGAACAAAACAAGAGGGAGCCTTTGACGGCGCTGGCGGTGCATGGGGCAGCCCGTCGGGAGAGGGTTTTTCACTCTCACCCGCTTTTAATGACCAAACTCCAGGAATGCCAAAAAGGAGACGAGCGCTCTCTCCGTCTTTTCTGGTCGGGCCTCATTGTCCTTCCTGGCTTCTCCCTTTCTTTTAAAAGGCACTGGAGTAGGTGCCTTCGGCTCTTCAAAAGGCTGGGATGGATGGGATGCACTTCTCTCTGGATGCTGGAACGGGAGGGACATCCCGGGTGGCTCAGCACCGGGATGCTCCCCGCAGGTGTCCTCGGGGAGGGCGCTGCTCCTGGCCAGGTGCGTCATCCTGCGGGCATTTCCCTCCATCCCAGGTACAGAGCCTGGCGGCAGGAGCCTCCCCATCCTGCCGGCTGGGGCTGCGGCAACGGGAACCACCGTGGGAAAAAGCACACGGCGCCTCGGAGAACGGAGGAGGGGGTTGGAGAGGGGTTTGGGGTGGGAGGCAGGCCAGCCAAACCTTCCCTATTCCCTGGGGGTGGCTGGCCTTGGTTGGAAATGCCCTCGGAGGAAACAGGCCTGAGGGAGGCAAGGCTGGGAGGGGGTGGTGAAACCATGCTGGCAAAAGCCGAGCTGGAGAGGTTAGAGTTGTCACCTAACCCAGTCACCATCATCCTGATTTTTCATTTGAATATGGCCGAAAGTGTCTATTTCCCATTCTTGCCCCCTAATTTGAGTTTATTCCTCTCCTTCGTTTCTTTATTTCATGTCTTTCCCTCTTTTCCCTCAGAAGACTGATTTTTGGAGGTGACAGGGAGCCCCCAGAGCCAACTGCAGCCAAGCTGGAAGCGGACCAGGAGATGCGAGTTGGGCAAACACCTCCTTGGATGATGTGAGGAACCTGGGGGTGGTTTCCATGGCAGCCCCTTGCCCCAGAACATGTGTTTATGATCCTTCTGTGTATTGTATTTTGGCATAAAAGCTCCTCTGCGCCAGCAGGGCTGGAGGGGCAGCCTGAAGGCCCCCAGGGGGGTTTACAGCCCTCCTTGGCATAAGAATGGCCACGAGGAGCCAAACCAGCACCCCAAGGGCTGCCGCACGCTGCCTTTCATGGCAGGCATAAATCTGTCCAGGCAGTGCCACGGTTAAAGAGCCCTCCCGACACAGCTCTCAGCTGTGAGAGCCACTTTTCCTAAAGCCTTCCTCAAGTGCCTCAGGTTGGGCTTCCCCCGGTCCTGTATTATGTACAGATTTGGCCCACGTAGCCCCAGTTCCCATTCCCCATGGGCAAAAAAGGATCTCAATTATCTATCATACAGCCAATCCCCTGGCATAAGCAGAAATCCCAGTAGGATCTTTTTTGTGACCTGATGTAAGTTGTTGTCTCAGTACAAAGTTACAAAGCACCTTGTGTTTTAAAGTCTGAGACAAACACTTTTGCTCCGACAAGCTGAAAATGTAAGGATAGCAAGATGTAAGGATTTAAAAATGTAAGGATATCCTGCCTTCTCCTCTACGATTCTGCAACAGCTGTGTAGGTCCAGCAAAATTCTGGCAGCCTGCTCATCCCCGTGACCTCTCATACTGAACTGAGATTAAGGAGAGGCAGAACTCCTGCCAGATTTTAAATCAAGCCTCTAAAAAAAAAAAAAAAAAAAAAAATCCTTGGAGGGTAACTTTGCAGCGGCAAAGAGGGAACAGGGATGCTGCTGGGGCGGCTGTGACACACAGCCGTCCCCTCTCCCTCGCCTCCCCTCCTCCTCCTTTTATTAAAAAGCAGAGAGACCGGCCCAAAGCTGATGGCATATTTACCTTCATGAGTTTTAAAAAAAAGTTAATTACCGCTCGGAGCAAGTTGGTCGGGCTGTCCTGAGCTGTCTTTTATTAGTAGTCGCCTTCATTAATTTCCCTCGCTGGATTTGCTGCTAATAGCTGCCTGGTCCTGGGCAGCACAAAGCAGCATCTGTGCCATTGAGCAGAAAAGCGGGAGTCAGGCAAAGGGGGGAACTGGGCGCGGGGGGCGACGCCGTTTGCAAATCAACCTCTATTAACGTGATGTCCTGCTCGGAGGGGACGGCAGCCCCGGTAGCCGGCACGACAGTTTGGGCTGTTACCCAGGGAGGAAAGGCACCTGCTGCCTGCCGGGGGGATCCTGCCCTCGTCCCGCTTCCCGCTGGCTGTGCCGCCCGGGGAACCCCCGGGATGCTGGACCTGCACCCCGCTCGGTGCTGCCCGTGCTCCTGCGCCGAGCAAACTGCGAGTAACTTTGATGGAAGATACACTCTGTGCATCAAGAACATCTTGGCGGAGAAGTTTGGGATTAAGGAATGGGAGGGGGCAGCGGGCAGGCACAGCGGGCTCACACGAGCCGGGGCAGCGGGTGGCTGCGGAGGCCGGCAGCCCCATCTGCTCCCGCTCAGCCAGGGGAGAGGGGAGATGATTTCATCCAAGAGGAAGAAAGGAGGGTGGCGTGTGTCACTCCCGGGAGAGAGGGGCGACAGCAGCAGGCTGCCGCCAGCATCCCCACAGAGCTGGGGGAGGCACCCGTGTGCCGCGGCTTCCCTCGAGGCAGCAGGCGACAGCAGCAGGTCCCAAGCAACACCTCGCTGCAAACAGCCCGGCCCGGGTCAGCGGGAAGGAGACGCCGAGGAAGCTGCTGCTGCTGCTGCTGCTGCTGCTGCCGTGTTCTTCCAAGCAGAACAGATTGGGCAGCACGGGCTGCGGTTCTGCGCTTGCTGATGGGAGGCTTTTCCCCTCGTTCCCCATGAATAGCTGTGTCTGGGGAAGGAGCCGTGCCGAAATCCAGCAGCTGGGCTCGGGGGCAGCTGATGCCGCGTTTAGGGCAGCGGGGCCGTGCTGCCTCGCGTGCAGGGGCTGCCTCACAGCTGGAGGGGTCACCCCATGCCCGCTCTCTGCCAGCCCGAATGGCCCGGGATGCTGCGGCTCCGAGGGAGAGGGGGGAGGCAAGCTTGGCTCAGCCCTGTATTGTTGGAATTACTGAGGGGCTCCCTTCCCACCGCGTCATTTCTAAGAGAAGTTCCCTGAAGTGCTCCACAGAGTCATTAGTTATTGGCGAACGAGTGAGGAAACCGTTCTACCTGTTAGCAGGCTTTGGTTGCATCAGCTTGTTCCCTGGATATCAGCTTTACTGAACTGGATGAACAAGCACGATGCACAGCCAACACGACTCTGCCTTTCACCTGGACACCTGCAGAAAGGGAAGGAGGAAAAATCTCTTTAAGCAAATACCCTCCCTGAAGGACAGCAAAGTGTGTCACCACTGTCACAAGCAGGCCAGTTTCGTGCCTGACTTACAGCA